ACTGGGCTGGTTACAGGTGGCTTTTCTTTGTTCATTCCTTCCTTTGAGCCAGACTTTTAAGTAGCCCCCATGAAAGCATGTTTTCTTGAAGAAGTGCGTAATAAGAGCTCCTTTTTAGAAGCATAGCGTCATGCAGCTGAGGAAAGGTCAGGATCTTTTTTTCATATCAATTGGGCACTCAGCCCAGGTGATGAACTGACAGCTGGAGAGGTTTAAGTCTTGTGTTGATGCCAGCCAAAAAGCCCAGGTACAGTGTGGCAGTGGGAGTGCAGGATGGAGTAGGACTGATAGCCAGCCTTTCTGTCCTGGCCTGGGGAAGGGGATGAAGGAAGGAGCCACACTGGGCTCCTGGTGCCAGTGGTGAAGGAGCTCCAGCAGGATGTTCCCATCAGCACTGTCCGCAATCAAATCCCAAGCGGTGTGTGGGGATGCTGACCCCGTTAAATCAGGTGCCTGTGGCTGGGTGGTGGGAATGCCTGCTCTGGTCCAGTCTGCTGGGGATGTTTAATCAGCTTTTCCACTCAGATTGCTGCACAGGGTGGCAGTTATTGGAGTCTGGCAGAGGGACATCTACTGAGCAGGAATTGCACAGGGACACAGCTCGGCTAGTGGAAGCTGCAATGCAGCCACGGCTGTCTGACATTCCTCCAGGAAAAAGGCCACTTTTCCCAGATGATGCTGTGGAGAATGGCTTGTGCTTATGCACTTCTACAGCTGCGCCTGAATGTCTTGCCCATTGTTTTTTCCTTGCACTGCCTGCATCTCCTGACTTGAACAGAAAGTTGGACCAGATCATGCTGATCTCTTCCAGCCTGGACTTGTATAATGGTGCTGTAGAGCAGTGGATATCAGAATAACCTGCTTATAAATAGTTGTGGTGCCTCACTACAGTTCTGGCCTTTCCCAGGGCACTGGTACAGGATGAGAAAATGATCTGCTGTCTTAAATTACATTTACTTCCAAAATACTTGGTTGTCTCCTATGGTTTGCAGTGTTCCTTGGAAGAAGAGCAGCAACAGAAGGAAAAGAGATACTTTCCTGCCTTACGTGCTTATGCAACTAGAAGCACTGCAACATCTTAGCTCCCATAAGTCCTGGTTCTGTGCTGGCATTCTTCCTCTTTCTATCCTTCAACCCTTATTCTCTGCCCCCAGTTCTGAGCTGGGAAAAATCTATTTTTATGAGCAGAATTTAAAGAGAAAAGGCGAAGTTGCAACATGCCTGATGAAAGTTCAGGAAATAAAGCCACATTAAGTTGCCAACTCTTGTTTTTTGTCTTTAGGCTTTGTCCCCTGACCTCAGTGTTGTCCCTCAGCACTGGGCCATCCTGTGGCATCCTCGTGCAGCCTGCAGGGTGTCACTGTGGTATGCCTGCTGTGGGCATTGGGATTTCCAGTTTTTATTGTGCTTAAAATATAAATCTCCTTACTTGTTCTTAAGCAAATTCTGTTTATTTTTCAGTCTTCAGCTGTGAACCTCAGGCAGAATATTAACTTGTAACCACACAAAATCAAGTCTTGCTTTTTGAGTCTACCCCCACTTCGGAGTAGAAGTTCAGTTGCTAGAAGCGATGACAAATTGGAGGGAAGAGGCACCAGAACGAATGCACATCTGTCACTAAAGGACACAAGTTTCCTTGAAAATGTTTGCATCCCAAGTGTCTAGACAGTAAAAGTAGTTACTGGGATTTCCTGTCCCTGGAGAGTTGTTGCAAAGTGGTACCCAGGGAGAATGCTTGTTTTACAGACCTCTAAAGGGTGATATTTTCCAAGATGAGATCCACTGAACAAGCCTTCCAGCCAAATCAGGAGATCCATCTTAGGCTGCCATACAGAGGAGCTGTGTGTTGGCAGTGCAGATTCTCGTACCATAATTGTGTAAAGGAGCACACAGCTCTTCTTCCAGCAGAAAACTTCATGTGCTGGTGGCTGTGCTGGCTCACTGATAATCCAGGGCACATTATCTATGCCCTGCTCTGATGATCACCACATCACCTTTCTGTTCTGAAGAAATTTCCAGTGCTTCATAAGTGGCCCCACTGGAGATCAAAGGGAGAAATCAGCAGGTGGCAGATGATTCTTCAGAGCTGTTCTGATGGTGCACAAGCTGGCATGGGGCTTGGCCATCCAGTTAAGTGGTGGAATGATGTGAGACAGAGGTGAAGAAATGTTGTTGCTGGAGGGAGATCAGAACTGGTCAGCTTGGCCACAGAGTAAAATGAGAGTAGCATTTGTAACTGGTCAGTGGCAAGGTAGAGGATGGGAGGGCAGAGAATGGGACAGAAGAAAGGGGCATCTCATCTCCTGCATGATTGTTTACAAAGCTTTTAGCAGGGCCTGTTCCAACCAATGGTTTTAAACCAGAAGATGGTAGATCTAGAAAAAATAAGAGGAAAGTGTTTTTTTACAATGAGGGTGGTAAAACACCACAACAGGTTGCCCAGTGAGGTGGTGGATGACCCATCCCCGAAACTGCTCCAGGCCAGCTTGGATGGGGCTCTGAGCAAACTGATCTAGTTGAAGATGTTCTTACTTACTTCAGGGGGATTGGACTAGACAATCTATTAGGTCCCAAACCATTCTATGATTCTGTGATAAATGAAGGCATAACTGGAGCACTTGTTTCCCTGCCTTGATACAGTTTTCATCCCTGTGGGGTAGCTGGCTGCTAACTCAGGGTAAATAGGCTTTTTGTGGTGAGACAGAAAGCAAGACTGTGTGAGTCTGTTACAGATGTTAACAGGGTAATTTGAAGGCAGGCAGGTTAAGACTTTGATCTAGCTCTTTTCATTTTTAATCCGTTTGCAAAGTCCATGTAAGCAGAGGTGTGAAAATGGAGCATAGTTTGGTTTTGTTATGTGATGCACACCTCAGCTGTGCATCTGTCTCCAAAATGTTGGCACTGTCTGAAGTACAGGTCCCACAAGAAAAAATATTTGGTAGTGCCACTTCCACAAAAGATGCTCAGCTTAACCCATCCTCCAGGTTTTTTTTCTCATCACTTGGTTTCATAGTATAATGCTTCGCATAGATTTTTAATTTAAACATTAAGCAGTACTCTGGTGCTTTATTGGGAGTTTCTGTACTCTTTTACTTTTAATCAATAGCTTTATTCAAAGTCAGCAAGACTTCTCACATGTGCCACAGTTAAGTCCATGCTTAACATAACTGGCAGCTGCCTGAGAGGGAGCTGACTTGCTGGGCTCTGGCGTTTGGGACACGAGCCTTGCCTTCAGAGGGTGTTGTGCTTTGGGAAGTCGCTCATTTCCAGCCCCCTCTGGTGCGCAGGCTTTAAGAAGTAGAGAAATGGGCTTGCACTTGCCTGAGCTGCTTTCAAGCCGCTGGCCAGGTTTTACTGGGGGCTGCCAGGCCTGTCTGGGTATCTCCTGCTGACCTTGTTACGGCCATCGGGGCACACCAAATGGAGTCACTGGCAGGCAGTCACATTAACCAGCGGCCAGCCTTAATTTGCCCTTTGAAAATGAAGAAATCAATATGTTGATCCAGTCAGAAATCCCTTTATTCACAAAACAGTCTACCCCAAACCCCTCCACATAATTAAGGCTAACGCCAAATTTTGTTTGGGTGAAATGCACAATCTGTCTGCTCCCTAAGCTTTGCTGAATGAAGTTCTCCCCTAATGGCACAGGGAGCAGCTGTCACACTGTTGCTTTAATAACCATGAGACAAAACGATTAAATTTCTATCAATCATTTAGCATTATCAGAATAGGTCATTTTAATAAATTGTTATCATAGGATCAGTGCCTGGCACCTTAGACAGGAGACAGTTTGAGTGATCCTCCTTGCAGGAGATGCCCGTCCTGGTTAAAGCAGCAGTTCCACTAAATCCACCATTTTTCATGAGGCTGCCTGCTGTCAGGGTCTTTTCAAAGTAAAGACATTCCTGTAATCAACTCAATGGCATTTTGGTTTCAGCCAGTGTCCCCTTGTTCTTGCACTGTATAAAAAATCATCAATCTTTCGTCTTGGGGAAAATCCTCAAAAGGTAGTAAGTGTGAGGTGTGAGGGGACTAAACCCTATTTCCAGAAGCCATTTCAGAGCCAGAAGCTACATGCCCAGCAATACTGATGTCTACCAAGTGAACTTTCTCAAAATGTGAGAGGATTTCATGGGAATGTTTAAATGTACATACTTTCCAAAACCCTATGTGGTGTTTGCCTGTATCTCTGAGCCACTGAATACCTTTAAAACCCTGTCCCCTTGCCCCCCTAGGTTGAAATATTCATCTGTTTTCAGTGTTTTACCTACCTACCATGTTTCTTCATAGTCATCTCAGTGCCGTATCCAAGGTGTCTTCCCCATGCTTCTCTCTTCTCAGAGAAGTTTCTTGGCTAGAGAATGAGATAGACCCTAACCCAGTTTTTAAAGCCAGCTGGACCCTGTCTGTTGCTGGTGTATTGTGTGAGCAGGAAAATGGAAAACCCCAAAGTCCACACTGAAATTTGTGGCTCCTTACTGTTTGTCTTAAGCATCCTCTTCATCTGTCCTTCAAGGGTAGTGGTGGATGTCAAACACTTACAGAAGATTTATTCAGCTTTTTGGTGATGCTGAGAAAAGGTGATTGTGAAAAATGGAAAAAAGCTGGAAGATCCTTCATTTCTTCTACCTGGAAATATGTTTGACAAATATACAGTGCACTGGGTTTCTGTAAATCAGACTTGACCATCATTTTTCATCAGAGAAAGGGTTTTTCTGTCCTGTTTGGGAGCAGCTAAGCCATCAAAGAAACACATGAACCTTGGCAAGGGAAAAGTATTTTCAGGCAGGGTCATCTTATTCCTTGCTATATGTTTGAAGTTCCTGGGTGCCAACATACCTGAAATGTTCCTCAGTGTAAGCTGTTGTTTTGTTTGGATGTTTGCTTGGTTGCCTTTTTTGTTGTGGTGGGTTTTTTGTTGTTGTTGTTTTGGGGGTTTTGTTTTTGTTTTTCTACATGCAGTAATCTCACTGTTTTTTTTTTTTCTTTTTCTTCTCCAGGCCCTCAAACTGACACGAGATGTAGAGAGAGAACCCTTTGCCAAATCTGCTGTCAGCAAGTGGACAGTGATACTGTTTACAGCTTACGACCTTTGTGAACCCTGCATTATTTTCCTAATGAAGCAGACTGTTAATAGGCCCCTTACTGGAGTGAAGAATCTACTTTTTTTCCTCCCTCTTTTTCTTTTTTTTTTCTTTTTTTGTTGAAAATTGAACTCATTCTGAAGTATGCAAAATCTTCCTTTTCTGGGATGGCCAAGCACCTGCTGTGGAGACAATGTTCAGCACCATCCTGTTGAGAACACACTGTGTAGCCTTTACACTAGTTACTTGTCAATGAGTATGTGGTGTTTCAATATATTAATGGTTTATGGGATGTTTTAAGTTGGCTTTTCTTTTTGGAGGTTTTCCCTATCTGCCCACCCTCCCCCTCCTACAGCCTCCAGTTTTATTTCCGTAGATTTTGAACCATTTTTGCTTTCTCTCCCTGGGGAATCTGAGGCACTGTGCACATGAATGGCAATGACTGTAACCCAGCACCGCTCAGGTGTCAGGGTTTTCTGTAGGTACAGCGTTTGTCAGTCCTGTCAGCCAGCTGGATTCCAGAGAGGGGATGTGCGTGCCCTGCTTGTTTGTTGGGTTGGTTGGTTTGTTTCTTTCTTATTCTTTCCTTAAGTTTAATGGTACACCCCTGTTTTCCGTAAGGGTCAGCCCAGAGCTGGTTGCAAAGCAGGGGAAGCTGGTGGGTGCCTCTTGGCTCATAAGGACAGACTGACAGCGGGTGCCACTGCCCTCACAGGCACCGAGGCAGGAGCCCCTCTCCTGCCCACTGGAGCAGGCTCCCCTCCTGCCTTAGGGTAGCAAAGCTGCCCTCACTGCTCTGGGGAGCTGGTGAGGAGTTGCAGGCTGAGCTGCCACACGAGGTGGATGTAGTCACCTGTAGAGATGTGTTTGGAAGGACTTAAAGGAAACCGAGTGGCTGGGCGTCGGCAGGTGACTTGCAGTGACAATGAGGAGCTGAGGCACAGATCACTGCAGAGTGTGTTATGGCATTAGTGATCCTGTTTATTTTTGTTGTTGTTGTTGTTTTCGACACATCCTTGATTATTTTTTCCTTCTCATTATGTATAATCCATTGTGGCAGAAGAAGCAGGAGTGGGAATGGCACAGTATCATGCAAATGGCTTTTCATATGAGCATAGATTGTAGCAGGATAAATGACACTGAAAGACAAGGCAGTTTTATATATTTTGCTTCTAAGATTTTCTTTTGTAAAATGGATAATAATTAATAATAATAATGAATAAAAGGTATGGTGCTGTATAGATCCTCTCTATAATCTGGAAAGTTTGATTACTTTTTATTAGTATCTGGGGGAGGGAGGGATACAAAAAAAGAGGGGAAAACACCAGTGGTACATAGGAATTTGGTATGAAGAGGTTCTGAATAGGACAGTGTATACATAATTCTCCAAAGCGATATATGAAGTTTTTTTTTTTCCTTTGCATTAAAGCATTATGCATATAAATATATAAATATATTTTATTATGTACAGAAATGGATCATTATGCATGGATGTTAGGAAAACAAAACTAGCATTTTAACCCAAGGTCTCAGTGCATGAGTTCCCACCAACCCGTGTCCCATGCAATGTGGAGTGACTCCCTCTCGCCACTGCCACCACACGTGCACAGTCATGCACCAACACTCACACGCATTCGTGGGCCCTTCCTCACTCCTTACCTTCCAGGTCCCTGAGGTGATGTTGGTGAAGCAATGGCTCCTTGTGTGATGGAAGTTTTGGTTTTTTACCTTAGCCCCCATGCTGTTCTCTCATAAAGATGCACCTCTTGGTTTCTCCCCCCAGTTACGACTGTGTAGGCTCTGTACAGTTGTGGGTAGCATAGCCCTGTAGCATATCAACTCTTTCAAGCAGCCAAGGGTTTATCATTTGCCTTTTAAAACAACTTCTCTTTTCTTTTTACACTGAGGGGTTCTATTTGTTAGCATGTGGCCTAGTTCATTACATTCATTGGAGCTGGCTGGTGCACATTGCCCATGTCTATCAGCAACCAGCTTCCCAGGATGCTTGTGTGGCACAGCTGGGCACCCTGCTTACCCGAGTCCAGTTGCAGGCACCTTTTACTGAAATTGGTCAAGAGTTCATCACTGGCCTCCCCTGAGTGTGTGCCATTCGCCCATATCTTCCTGGTGCACCCCAAAATGTGAGTGTAGGACTTCCCTCTGGTGTTTCTTTCACTGGGGCTTCTCTGCAGCTGCTGCCCTGAGACTGGACTTGTGCCCCAGCCCCATGTTCTGGCTGTCAGCAGAACTCACTCAGTGGCTGCCTCTGCTGAGGTGCAGCTTTTGATCCCTATACAGATGAGCCTCCAGTGAGACCGTGGTGCTGCCCAAAGACCCATTGTCACTGATAGATCAGTAAAGCCTCACTCGATGGTATGGCCAAAGTCAGCAAACCCCATAATTTATTTTTTTCTTAATTCAGATTCAGTTCTTGTCAAAGGCAAGGGAAGGCCTGTTGAAAACTTGAATGAAAAGGCTGCAAATTCTGCTCTGTTCCAGCAACTTAGCCTGCTTGGGTTCAGAGGAACTGCTTTCCACTGGCAGAAATGAGAGATGAAGTGATGGCCTGCTCTGTTCAGAAAATGGAGAAAAACCACTTGGTTTAGAGACAGCCCATCAATGGCAGAAAAGTTTTTTTTAGAAGAAACAATAAAAGCAATAGTGGCTGAAAGCCTGCCTCCCAGCAATGTCAAGGGGAGCATTTCCATTGGCGTGGCTGGGACAGCTTGGGCCCCTGCTTTGGAGAACATCCCAGCACTCAATGAAGAGGGATGGACCTGGCCAGTTTCTTCAGTTTGGTTTGGTTTCTATTGCTCAGTTTTGGGGCCAAAATTTTCAAGCAGCAGTGCCTGGTATCAGGCACCAAACGCTGGGGACTCCAGTGTGGCCACAGGGGACGAGTTGCTCTGCCCTCATGGCTTCCTGGAGGACGGGGAGGGGACAGGTCCCCCCAGGCCCAGGGGAAGGTCATCGCCCTCTTCACCTGCTGAGGGGCCCAGCAAAGGCCCTGTACCCCAGAGGTGCTAGGTAAATCTCCTTGAATTCAAAGGGCCAGTTATTAAGGTGTCAAATTAAGCCTTGAATAGTTAGTTTGAGGAACTTACATTTTGAAAATTTGGCCTTTGAGTCTTTGAACATGTTTATGCCTAGGAGTTGTCCTTGTGAAATCATGTCAAACAGATGAAGGTCAAGGTCACAATTACATGGTTGGCTTTTTGACACTTGGACTAAACAAAAGGTCTAAAAAGGTGTTATTTATGCAGTTTCTAGTCACAGGTTGGAGCTTGATTTAATAACTTTGTAAAAGGAATTTACTTTGAAGAATAATCGGATAGTTAAACACTGCTTAACTCCAGAAATTTTTGTGCCACTGCTTAAAAAAGTTACCTTTTAAGTCATGTATTTCTCCAAAATTATATCATTGCTTGGCAATTGGTGTCCTGTAAGTGTTTCAAGTACACAGTATACCTTTGGAATTGCCAACAGATGCGAAGGGGGACCAGATACATTTCGTAACTATGGGTTGGAAAAAATGGATTGTACATTTGGCTTCACATGTTTAACTTTTTTTTTAAAAAGTTGCATGATTGGAAAAAATATGTATACAGTATCTGTAAAACTGTTTTATCTGTTTCTGTTTCAAGCCATGTAAATTGGAAGAATATTAAATCCACAGCCTTATCGCGCATGGCCGTCTTTACATACCGAAGAGCTGAACAGTTTATACTTTTCATTTGGGCTATCTTGTACTTTCATTTGAAAGCAGACACTCTCACGTTGCAGTCTTACTGAGGATTTTATATTTAAAAAAAAACAACAAAAAACCAAAAAAAAAAAAAGGAAAACAAAGAAAAAAGATGCTGCCCTGGAGGAATATATTACCTTACTACTCAGAGGTTGGAAGGAAGTTTGTTTTGGAGCAAAATCTGCCCCTTTCCAAATGAAGTAGAGACGCAGTGCTTACTCCACTTGGTGTTAGTAGATATTGCCTTGTGTATTCCATTTTAAATTGTAATCTAGTTTGTAAAAGAGATGGTGACGCATGTAAATAAAGCATAATGAATCTCTGCATTGCACATTTGCCTTTGCTCTGTTTTATTGTGTCACAGACAGACGTGTGTTTACACAGGACCTGGAGAAGGGGTGACTTTCAAGCGGCAAGTGAAAATGGCTGGTGGGGCACTTGTGGCTGGGCAGGGGTCCCCAGCCCGCATCCCCTAATATCTGTCAATGCGTATTGACATGGGCCTCGGCCCTTCAATCCTTCAGCCAAGCCAGGTGGTGGTCAGATAACCCCCAGGAGGATCATTTACTGCTGCTAAAAAATCACAAGGTTCTCTTGAATATGGGGACAGAGGGGGGTTGTCCCCAGGGGTGGCAGCTCGCCTGACCTGGGAGAGAACCAGTCTGACCACAGACCGGTCCAGAGAAGGGTTACACCCCCCACCAGGGGCTGGCTGGGTTTCAAACTGTCTTTGAAAAATGCCTGGAGTACTTGAAACCACTCGTTTGGGATTTGGGATAATAAAACCAGCAGCCTGACTCAGCAGAAAGTTATACTGAGGGCTCTGGCTGAGGCCATGGGGAGCGTGCTCAGAAATTAGAGACATGTCAACAAAATAACTCTTCTCCCACCCTGATGAGAAGCCAGAGATGTATATGGTCTTTTTGAGTCGTTTTTCAGGGGGAAATGATGTTTTCAAGAAAGAAAATCTCACAGGAGAGAGGGGGTTTTCATTACTCCAGGAGGACAAACCGTGATGTTGTCCGAGCAGAGCCCACAGGAACACTACACTGAAGTACTGCAGCAATAAAGAGCAGCTTGGGGGTATCCCTTGTTAAACACAGCAAGAACTGTTCAGGTTTTGCTCTAACTAGAGACAGCCTGGAACATCACAAGATCCAGACAGGGAGTAAATAGCCTTTGACCAGGAGAAAGTGTGCATTAAACTTGCCAGAGAGAGAGTGCGCTTGTGCTGCAGCAGCTACAGCTTCCCCTCACAAACAGGGCTGTTTTGCTTTTTTTCACAAGGTTTCTCCAACAAGGCTCTGCCAGGGAAGGACCCGGATGCCCTTGGCATTGCCCCGCTGATTTTTGGGACACTGATATTGTGGTTGTTTGGCCAAGTGAGGTGCCAAGTCAAAGGGACTCAGCTTTAACCTGAATTTAGGCAGGGGTGGCCACAGCAATGAAGATGAGCTGATCAACTCCTGAGCAAGTTTAGTGCTGAGCCTACTTGGGTCTATTGTGCAATGCCTCAGCTGTGACCTTCAGTTCACACGGCCTTGGAATAGATCATTCTTATCTTTCACAGTACTTTCAAAATAAGTCCAAACATTTTAAAACTTCTCCAAGTTGTCCCAGAGGGCAAAAGACTTTTCAAGTTGCTGCTGAGGCTGGTGAGGCAACAGAGAGCTATTTTAGGAGCTCCCCCACCACATTTGCTGAGTCGTGAGTTCAGCCAGACCAGGGAAAACAGTATTTTGCAGCTCTCGTTTGGTTACTGCTGCCAAGGAAGTTTGGGGTGCTTTCAAGAAGGCTGAGATAAGTAAATCTGGGAGGCTACCTCTTTTACTGGTTGGAGCCATCATGGCTGGAATCTCACCCTTCAAAAGGAAGTCTTCCTGGATGAAGTGGAGCCCAAGCCAGATGGAGTAGATACTGCTCTTGCTGGTACACACATTCATCCCACTGCCAGCAGCTTCTGGGCTGTTTCATGGCATCTCTCTTTGCCCAACCCAGCCCACAGAGCTTTTTTTCCCACTGGGTCTGCCTGTGGATTTTTTTAAAATGAAAATGTATTTGTCACATAAGTACAAAGCATAGAAAACAAACAAAAAAACAAGTAAGCTTTAATTATTTTTTAAACTGTGATTTAAATCTCTGAAAAACTTTGGAATTATCTGACAAAATTCAGAATCTCCAGATGGGAATTTTTATTTTTGCACCTGGATTTTCTTTGCATACTCATGACATGAGCGGTTTTGCATACGTCAAAACATTTACTTGCTAGAACAAAGCGTCTCCTGCTTTTATTTTTTGATGGTTTGATTACATACCAAGGACCTGATTTAATCTAGAAAATGAGATAAAATGTCCCAATTCAGTAGGAGCAGCTGGCATAAATGAGGTTAACTGTTGTAACATTCTTTTAATGTTACATTATGCCATGCAGGTTTAAAGATGCCTTTGTCCTATGAGTGACATGGTGAAATGGGGGGAAAACTGTAAAAATACATGACATCTCATAAAAATATTTCCAACTTCCAAGACAAATATAATGCTGATCAGGAGTCTTTTCCCTCAGTTTTCACTCTTTTTGAGGCAATGCCCTAAAACTTTGTTTTTGCTGGAATTTAAAGCCCAGAGCAATTCCCACATGTTGCCTTTCCCTGGGGATCCGCCGTCCAGCAGCGCTCTCTGCAATGGGCATTGAGGGAAATGCTGCTGCTGGCACCTGTGCACCCTGGCACCACAGAATGTCAGACTTTGGCTCTACTTCATGCTCTGAGGGCCACTATAACCCCTGAATTATCCCATGGCTGGTGCAGCGAGGTCCAGTGCAGGAGGATGGGAAGGACATCGGTGGCAGCAAACACAGCAGGTGCCAGCACCTTGCTCCAGTGTGTGATAACCTCGCTAAGATTCACCTGCTGCATGGACAGTGGTTCCTTCTGCTGTTCCCAACCACCTTGGAAAAGGATGGCATTGGTTAGAAAGTGCTAGTTAAGAAATACAGGTGTACTCTACCTCTGACCTCCTAAGCAAAAGATGGAGAAAATGTGTGCATTGGCAGAGTCACCTCAGAGGTGACCCTGGAGAGCAGCAGAGGAAGATGTTTCTGACACCTTCCCCTCCAGGAGGGAGAGGTCCAGCCATTCCAAGCCTCTGCTGTGAATGACTGGCCTAGTGTTTGTCTTGGATTTGTTGTTTCAGAAGAAAATTCATACTTCACCAGCATTTTATCTTGAATCTCTCAGGCTTCTCTCACTTAAGGTCAACCAGGCTTGTACACTATTAACTAATTCATGGATGAGTGTCCTGGAGAAAAGTCACTGCTTAGCAAGCAATAAAGCAATTCATAAAAGACATACAATAAAAAAACAAAGTCCTTTTACTCATTAAATTAAACCCATTGTCATTCACACTTCTCTGGAGAGTCATATTTGCAATATCAAATTGTGTTATCAACCTCAGTGTGCATCTGTTAGTCAGAATTTATGGCGAGGCTGCCTCATTTATACAGGAGTTTTTGCCATGCACTGTCACTCAGCCTAGCAGACTCCCATGGAAAAGCCACAACTGAAGCTAAAATTCTGCTCTGCCATAGCAGTTATAAAATTATAGTGGCTTTCAGAGCTGTATCCAAGTCTCTTCCTGAGGAAGGCAGCTACCTTTGGGTGTCTTCTCTGAAGCCTCTGGAGAAGGTATCAGAGGGGAGGTGAGGCATGGATGTGGATGTGGAGGGGATGGCAGTGGAGCTGTGTTTGCTCTGCAGTCTGGGTACGGTGGCTGTCACCACAGGGCCAGCACCAACCAAGTTACACGGACAGGAGAGGTCATGGGGGGAGTTCCTCTGGAGTAACACAAATGCAAAGCCTCTCTTCCCTTCTCCTCACCCATAGCAAGCACTTCAGGGTGAGCCCATTTCACTCAGTTTTTCACCAGAGGATGTCAAGGTGAGAAGTTGCCTGCAGAAGGTGCCCTGAATTGCTGGGTCCTGGGGGACATGGCTGCATTTCCAGCCTCTTAAATCTCCTACCAGAACATCTCTGCTTTTCCACAATGTCTTCACCTTCCCTTGCCAAAGCTTTGCTCCCTTATTAAGAAAGGGCCTCTGGGATGAAAAGATGATGTTGCTGTTAGCAGGAGACTCTCAAGGTTTGGTTTTCCCCCACAAAGGGATGTTGAAGGAGCAGAGGGGTGGGCAGCTCCCACCTCACAATCTCATGGACCGTGCATCCAAGGGGGCTTCTCCTTGGGTGCAGAGAAAATGTCAAGAGATGTGAGCACATGGAAGTGAAAAACAAAGTGGCAAGTGGAAAGGGTTTCATGAAATGCTACTCTTTGAATTATACAATGCCATGGGGGCATCTGAGCCACTTTTTCATTTCCTTTAGTCATTCTTCAATCCATATCTAAAGTCACCAGTGATTTTCGTTGCTGTCAGCAATGATCTTCCTATCTTTTAATCCTCATGAATCTTTTTTGGAAATAATTTTTTTTTTATCTTTTTTTCCCTTTTTTTCATTTTATGACTTTTTTACATTCTCTGTTTTTCTAAGGCCCATTGTTAAAATGTTTGTTGGGTCAATTATGTATGTTGTGGACATGATTTTTTTTTTTGAGGCTTTGACTTAAGCAACTAGGCCAGGTAACACAGTTAGCTGGTAAGAACTCATTGCCAGCACAAGTCACACCATTCCAGCAACACTAGGAAGAAACACTCCTTGTTTTGCTGCTTCGGGCTACACCTGAGTCTGAAGACAAAGTTTGCTGCTCTATCTGGATCAGCCACCCTTTCCTAACACAGGCTAAACCCTGAACATTGTTTCACTTGGAATAGTAAAGTTTGCAGCCAGTGTGGTCTGGTGGCTGCATTCACAGGTCTGCTAAGGTAAGGAGAGGTAGAGCTGAGAGTACAAATGGTTTGTGGGCCTCTTACCAGGTATGGCAGCTCAAAGGGACACCAGCCCAACACTTTAAGCAAATTCCTACAGACAAATAAATGGCAAAGAAATTAGTGCCTTGCTCTTTTAGGAAGTGTCTCTCTTTGTTCATGCTGTGCCAAGTTTTTCTGTGAGAAATGAATATTGTGAATGACTTTGTACAGTTCAGGCGCAGCCCAGAACAGCCAGCTGCAGAGCTGACAGTGGTGTCTGCTCCCTGGCAGTGCTGGCACTGTGACCTGCAGTGCTTCCCTGGGCCATAATCTGCAAAATAAGATTGAAAAACTTTGGTTCTCTCTATTTCAGTGAGTCAAGAATCTGCAAACTTTTCCAGCTGAAGGTTATCAGAATTTCATGCTGATCACCTCATCCATAAGCTAACAAAAGGCTTACCTGTTTCTTTTCCTCAATAACTGACAGCCCTCTCTAGGCACATGTTCAGCATTTCAAGACTAATTTAAAGGTCAAATTTACCATATGGGCATATCAGAGCTCATGGTTGAGGAAAGACCATCTAAAAGTGACTTGTGTAACATCTGCACACACACACACACACACACACACACACACGTACTCTCAGAGGTCACACACACATTTCTTTTCCATCTGGCCTTGTCTCAGACAGGACCCATGTGCCAGAGTATCAGGATAAATCTGTATTAGAGATGTAAGATGTGGGCTGAATCTGGCACCTTAAACACAAGGTAATGATAAGAGTCTGACAAAAGAAATGTTTGAAGAAAGAGATGGAGCAGAATTACATTGTTTTGACCCATCTTATCTGAAACCTAAATTATGGACAAACTGCTGAAGTACTTTGTGTTTAAGCAGTTACTCCCAAATTTTGGGTAGGCCATTATGGGATGCAGACTCTTATGCTGGGAAACAATGACCAGTCCCTACATTCTGAGGATTTCTTCACCATGTCCCACAAAATTTTTAGCCAATTGACAGTTTCCAGCCCCTCTACCTTCCACCTGGCAGAAAAACCACAGGTGCTTGACCAGAGAAGAGGGATTTGGAGAATAGCAACTGCTTTTTCGCCAAGACACTTCAATAACTACTGGCTTGCTTGTGTGCATTTCTAAAAGTAGGACTCGTGTGCTATCTCCCCTCCCAGCTATCCCTTCTATCCTCCTCCTGTGAGCCTAATCTTGTGCCACACTTGTCCCCTGGTCCTCCTGCCACCTCCCCACCCAGCCTTGGCTGGATGCCATGGATGTGGAGCCCTGGAAACCCAAAAGCTGGCAGCAGGCTCTGAGTGCTGGTGCAGGTCAGGCAGCCCAGCAGCAGCTGGAGGAGACTGCCCAGCACCCAGCAATGCCCGGGTGCAGAATGGGCACGGCCGCCACGGGCCGGCATGAGGAGCTGGCAGGGAAAATCAGCCAGGTGAGGTACAGCAGACAAAAGAGGAAAGAGACCAGCTACCAAATGCCAAGTGGGGCACAAGCAGCAGCCCTGGAAAAAAGGGCAGTGGGCAGTAAGGAGGTGGAAGGAGTCTGACCTCCTGCTGTGGAATTGTGGCACTGGGGCCTCCTCAGATGTCTAAGCCAGGCTGAAGAGGAGCAAGGGCAGTGGGAATGGGGACCAATGGGAGAAGGCTGATGTTATGTGTTAGAACAAGTTGAGAGAGGACACAAAATACCTTTTTATTTGTTAAGTAATTTTCTTCATTACTTCATGAAGAAAATTGCTTAAAACCCCCCACCCTTCATACCCACTAAGGAGAAGACACAGCCATGTTTCATCTACAGGAAATTTAGCTTATGTTCTCTTAGCTATGAAGATAATTAACACATTTCCTAGAGGTGTGGACTTTTCCTCATTAAGGGTGTTTTTTGGGAACAAAATGTTTGCCTGGATTTTCCACAGCCCTGCCTCAGAGCAGGAGGATCTCCTGAGGTCGCTTCTAACCTCACGCTCCTATGACTTGCCTTAAAGTGGCTTTAAAGCAAGACAAAAAAATTTTAAAAAGCACAGAGGCTTCTGTCCTTTCCTACCTAAGGCACAGGTCTCTGTGTACAGTAGCAAACTGTTGTCTTTTCTGCTGGTTGGACTGTAGCAGGCATTGAGCAATGTTGTCCCATTGTGCTGACATGAGGCAGGCCCAGGGAGGTGTTGGTGTAGCACAGTCATGGAATCACAGAACCTGCTGAGCTGGAAGGGACCCTTCAGCATCATGGAGTCTGACTCCTTCTGGAGTATAAATACAGGTGAAAATATAGATATTCCTGCAGTGGGTCAGGTTTGTTTCAGAGGTGGCCTGCTTTCCCTGCTGAGGGCATGGGTTGGCCCTCCTGGCAGGGACAATGGGCCAGACCAGGAAAAGGTGCCAGCAGCAAAACCTCACTGACTGTGTGCAGCAGGACTGAGTGGGCAGGGACATGTCAGGGAGAGGCAGCTTTGGGTGAGCACCAGCTTATCAGAAAACCCAGGCCCTGGTGAGAGATGCAGCCTGAAACCTTTTGGGGTGTCCCCTGTCACTGTTGCCAGGCCACCAAGGCAGGTGTTTGGGAGGGTGTCTGTCTGAGACAGGAGGACCCACACAGTCCGTAATGGAAAAGTGGGCAAAGTTCTGGTGTCTGAGCAGGCAAACTATGCCAGAGGAGAAGAAGATGCTCATGGCAGCAGCAGCCTCCTCTCCTGCTGGCAAACCCGAGTGATGGCTGCCTCCATGCCCAGCAGTAACCTCACCAAACAAGGCCCAGCACCGTCAGCCAGCAAACTGTACCAGACTTGGGCTCCCAGACAGAGAAAACAACCCCCTGCCTGTGTGATGTTTACATTAGAAGTTTATTTTACAGTTCATTTCACAATCCGTTTCTCCTCTCCCTTTGCTGGGAGGTGATTTATGGTGCTGCAGATCCTATCTGCCCGGCCTGCCCAGAGCACAGACCTGGGGAGAAACCTGCCAGGGCTCTGTCCTTGTCCTTGCTGCTCTCTCCCCTACAACTGCCCTTACCTATGAGTAAAACTAGAGCAGTTCCTCCCAAATAATGATAAATTAGTCTCTTGCTCCCTTGTGCTGGTGTTGGTGTTTGGGGGTGGGCAGCTCAGGGTCTCTGGGGAGAATGAACAAACAAGCAAACGTGAACTTCCCTCTGGCTGCCTGCCCTCCTGGTCCCGTGGTGGGGTGCTGAGGACTCCTGCCATGCTGTGGGACTGCAGACCCTGTGTCCCCACGTGAGGAAGTGCCATTCCTGGCCGTGAAGCTGCTGGCATGATCCATGGCTTCGGGACACGGCTGCTCCCTGCCCTGTGCCGTAAGGGACTTTCAGGGGCTGCTGGGATTAACTGGGATTAGTTGCTCAGTGATACATTTAAATGCTGATTTTTGTGTTTCCCTGTTCTAGTGACATTCAGGGAGGTGGTTTAGCTTCTTGGTTTAATCAAGAGCTCCAGAGCTGAACTTGCGAAAATGATGTGCTGCATTTTACTGAGAAAAGAGATCTGATCAGAAGATCTGGTGAGAAATCCCTGAGTAATACTTGACTTTCCTTGCTGTCTGTGTGCTTTGAAGGCAAAGGATTTAGTGCTTCCTTGTGCAGAGCCAGGTGTTCCCTATGAATAACTGGACCCAACCTAAAAGCAGGAGGAAGTGTATTTAAAAAAACAGAGGTGTGGTAATGACACTATCAAGCTGTTTGTGAGTTGTGCAATCCACGGCTCCTGAAGAGCCTGCTCCCCAGTCATGGCTAAGTCACTCCATCAAAACAATGACAAAACTCTGATAAATTGACTAGCAAGAGGGGTTTGTTCCTTTTCCTCAAGAAAATGCTGTTCACCTCACATAAATACGAAGTTCTGTGGGCTGAATGCTGGTGTGACAGATACAGTGCCTCATAAACATCAAAGCCAAAAGTCTGAAAGAACTTTTCTCTTACAGTTTTCTTTATCACCACTAATTGCCCTGATGATGACAATGTGTGCAGATGGTAAGAAACAGAAGAGTTTCACATAGAGGGCACTGAGATTACCTATGATTGCCTAGATTAACAGCTAAATAAGTGTCTCTCCATAAATGTTAGCAATTTACACCTTTTGAACTGCAGTTGTACCAAGTGGGGGGGGGGGTTAACGTTAAGAACATTAAGAAATTGTTTTCTTGTTCAACCTAATGCAAAGTGGAAGTCTAGAAAAAGGGCATAGATTTGCCAATACTTGTGTTTGGGTTTTAAGTGACTGGTTCAAATTTAGTCCATTCCTACAAGGGTAACAGTTCTTAAAGGCAATATAAAAATACCTGCTTTTTCCTCCTTTCCTACAAAAAGCACATGCACTTTTATTTAAATGTGGAATGATTCCTTCCTGTGTGTAATAATTCTCCATACACTGGAGAATGATGTGGGAAATAGAGACGCAAAATGGTCAGGCAAGTACAAACTTCTCTGCTTTTGTGCACATGGCTAAATACTTGAAGGGAAAATCATTCCACCACTCATTTCACTATTTTATGTGTCAATAACACCACAAACAGTGCACTAAAATAATAAACTAACACTCTAGCTATAGAATTTGACCTTAGATTAGCTAGACTTCTAAATGATAAGTATCAGTAAACTTAAACCATTTGCACCAGTACTATGAAGCTGAGATGGGTGTTGGGGTTTCTTTTCCTCTTACTGAAAGTGCACATTTTAGGAAAGGCAGCAAAGCTGGCACTGCTCAGCAGCCTGGTGTGGAGACATTCTTAAAAGCTTGCAAGGAAGTCAAAGGTAGAACTGAAAAGCTGAGGGATGGCAGCAGCAGCAAGGGCAAGGATGATTTCTGCAGGGTGATCAGGAGGGGCATTTCGTAAGAGAGAAACCTTCTCCCTGGAGAGTTTTTCATAGCTAGCAACCATGCATTGCAGTTTCTGTCTTGCAACACAAGCTGTCTGCAGAGATTGTGTCTCCCTACCTGACCTGCATGCCCTGAAAGAGGGCCATGAAGCCTCAGGGGAAAAACACAGCCCTGGGGTGTCCTGTGGACCCCAAGTAACCTCTCAAGCCTGGTGCAAACTCTGCCCAAGAGGCATTTGCAGAAAACAAGCTTCCTCCTGGCAAACCTGCCTTCATGTGGAGGAAAAGTGGAGAGGTTGTCCCCTTCACCTCCTGCCAACCTCTCTGGCCAGACCAAACTCAAAACCCCAAGGGAAAAGATTCAGCTGGTGTGTCGCAACATCCTTCCTCTGTTTTTGCCAATCCTATTTCCCAGTCTGTTGGCTAAGGTCCAGGATAATATCCCAAGGACACCCCAGTTCCATGGGGGAGAATAGGAGAGATGCAAAAAACTTTGAAAACACTTTTTTACATTATTTTGTAGTTTTTTGGGCATCTCAAATTAAATTCAACCGCCCATGAAATGAAAATAACTCAAGGGAAAATGTTAGTAAAAGGCTTGCCAATATATCCCATGAGGACTACAACATGTAAACAAGCTGCTACTAAAAGGAACAGAGGTATAGATGCCAAACTCTGGGTTTCTCTGGTTTGTAAGTAGGATTTAATTCAACTCAAATTTAGTGCCCATTGAGGGTGTCCAGTTCCCAGTTCCTGAACATTTTGACTCCTGAAGCTCTGCTTCTTGCAGTAGTCTCTGTAGGTTTGGGTCTCTACAGTTCTTATCTGCAAAAATCCTGGCAGTTCATGGAGGGATGGTTTTCTAGCATTTTATTCCACCACATCTCTCAAGAATGTAGTGTAGGATTAAGGCAAATCTATGATATATTTTCAGAGCAGTTTGCATTTAGCAGTGCAATGTATGTGTATGTGCAATACTTACACAGGTACACCTTCCCCTAAAGGTGTGTGCTGGACAAAGGGCAGAAGCACAGGGCTCTCCCAGCCTTGCCACTGGAAGGAGCCCAGTGGGACAGCCACAGGGACAGGGCTCCAGCAGCTGCATCCAGGGCAGGACAGCTTCCTGTGACACTGGCAGCTCAGGGAGCTGCCGTGGAGCAAGCTGGGGACTATGGGCATGCAGGCCAGAGGTAAAGGAGCAAACTGCTGGCATTAAAAGAGCTCCTGCTCTTCATTTGGCATCCAGAAAGGACCTATGATACTGGGAGGGGTGGATCAGAGATCTGTGGAGCCCTACTTTTTCATGCTGATTGAAGGGGACTGCATTAATAGGGCTGCTGAATGTTGATAAGGGCTGCTATAGTGAGAGAAGCCAACTGATATGATAAGACATGTATTTTTGTGTTATGTTTCAAGCCATTTAATAGCATTGGGTGGGGGTGGGGTGAACAGGAGGAAAAGTTGGGTTAAAAGATGTCCTTCATGTTAGAGAAACCTATTTGAACTTGCTTTCCTGTAGTTTAAATGAAAAACTGGGTTAAATTAGTTCTGATAAAGCACTAACTGCATGAATTATTGTTCATAGGCAGGAAAAGTGCAAATTTCTATCACTATTCTGCCCATGCATCCTTTTGGGTTTGGGGTGGTTTTTTATCACCCCCCACAGGACAGTACTTGAAGCCTTTCCCAAATAATAGCATCAATTGCAAGAACCTGCATGCGAGGATTCTGCACTGCCATCAGCCCAGGGACAAGGATGCCAAATCTGCTTTCATTGTGGATGATTTGATTAATCTTTTATTAAGTCCATGACAGGCTATTGAACTGACTCGGACATGGCTTCTGTGTTTCAGAGACCCAAGGTGGTTTTTTACCCAGTGCCTCCCCTTTCCCTCTGAGCCTGCAATTCCAGGCAGTTTTCAAGGACGGCAGCTTTTGCTGACAGCCAGGACTTGTTGGGGCACAGAGTGGAGGGACTAGATTGCACTTGGGCCAGAATGAAAGCTATTTCAAATGGTGCCACTCAACCCCCCAGGGCTGGGACCTCTGCTCATTTCTGGGTGTGCTGGCTTGGAAGCCAGGATCTGGACTTGGAAGCCAGGCTCTGGACTTGGAAACCAGGATCTGACCTTGGAGCAGGCATGTCCCTTGATCCTCTGCTGTGGGGAGCAGACACCCAGTGAATCCATGTGCACTTCCCTGTCCTCTGCCAGCATCCCTAACTGCTCTGGTCATGCCTTCCTGTGCAGACCAGGAAAGGGCAGCTTCTGCATGAAAACTGTCAGGAACTGGTGATTGCAGAGATCCTCAGTCCTGCCGTGCTTGACCAAGAACAGGCAATGGTTCCAAGAGCTGCTGTAGGAGTGTCTGACCTCGTACCACTTGCTTGTGTAGAAAACCAAGCTTGAACAAATCTTGAGCTGGCCTCAGTGCCATTGGAGAAGATGAGATTTATTAATTTGTCTCCTGTTGCCTGGAGCCCTCAGGAGTGAGGTCTGGGTCTTTCCATGACCTTTCCCAAGCCTTACCTGAAGCACTTGAATGTGCTGGCAGCTGGAGTTTTTCCATCCAGAGGCTGTGGTAGTGTGGGCATGTGGCAGCACAGGTGAGGAGCACACAAAGGACATTGCCAGAGGGAGAGGGATGGGCACAATCTCTGAGCTCTGGTCTTCTCAATGAACCCCAGGACCCTCCATTAGAGGGTGGTGACCTGCTCCTAAAACTTCAGTGAAGCAGCTCCCTTTATAGGACTCACCACTCTGCTCTGATGTATCTCGACCTACATTCAGATCTAGGCGTCCTGGTGGGTGCCCCATGGTGCCACATTTGTCTCTGGATGGGATCTGTCTCTGTCCCTGCAGACACCTCTGCCCTCTCAGCCTGCAGTTGAGGTATTTACATTATTTTTACAACAGTGCAGTGTGCTTGTAGAGGCAAGGCAATTTTTCCTCCTTGCAGAGGCAGTTCTGGGTCTTTCTGGCAGCTTTCTGTCCTGGCTTACAGGGTCATTAATGCTGTTAATGGTTGTAAAATTACAGTACCCATTCCTAATATCAGTTGACTTTGGCCTTGAGAGACAGTGCTACCCTTTACACTTTAGCATTTCACAAAGACTTCAAATGCTGGCAGAGAGGGCTGGGCATGAACTAATCTGGGCAGCAAGTTACAGGTTGCTTCACTTAAACTTTTCCACGTGTTGACTTCAGGATCATAGTTACTGTGTGACTCCACTGATGTAAATGGGAGAGTTCATTTTTCCCCTGCACTTGTGACTGAGCTTGAAAAATTAGTTCCTCTGAAAGCCAGTGTGTTTTAGCATTTGCTAAAGTGAACTTTTCCTTCCAGGCAAGTGGAGTACTGGGCTAAGACTGAGCTTTGTGATTCAATCCTACAACTTGCAGCCACTCCTCACCCTTGTCAGGAGGTCGAGGTGACACAAGGTACAGATCATTTCCTTCAAATAAAAAGCAACATGTTCTACTAAGAAGGCCTGAAATATCCATGGTCTGAAAGTTCCTTCAGGAATATCATTCATGGTGCCTGTTTTGGGGTAGGGGTGTTAGATAGACATAACCCATACATTTTAATCTGCACAACGTGCATGTTTCTTTCTATGATCCTTCACCCAGAACTGTATTTTAATGTTACAACTGAAGACACATATTTAATTATTGTGGTGCCTGTAAGAAACTCCAGGCTCCTCTGAAGTCCTCTGACAATGCAAAGTATTTCACAATGTATGCAGAGGTAATTTGCATGGAGAATCAATATGCTAATTATTGCTGATTGTTTTGGCGTGTTTCTTGGCTCTTTGTCCCAGGGTGTACAGCCATGTATGGTCCCAATTCCTCTGTGAGGTGTAAGATGTGCCTTGGCTCTGCCACAGTCACAGGACTTGCTGAAAGAGATGCAAACCAAAGAAGACTGGCACAGCTTGTACTGTCTTATCCAGTCTAGCTTCATTCTGTCAGGGAACAGCAATTAAATCAGATGAAGAAATTAGGGAGCTTTTGTCTAGCTGGTGAGTTAAATAAATATTGATTAAAATAAAATGATTGCTAAGCAGATGAGTCAAAATAACCACCATACCAATTCGTAAGTCTATATAAAGCCAAGTGGTGTGGGAATACAAGTGTCAAATATAGGCCCAGAGATGTTCTCCTTCTTCATTTTATTTATTTCAAAGATGGTTGTGCTCTGACTCAGGGACCAGGAATAGTTGTGCCAGGCTCTGTGCTGCCTCAGAACACAAAGATGAACTTTGCCTCTTGGCTTTGTCGGCAGCCTGAGGCTCCTGGGGACACCAGGACCAGGTACACGGGAGGAACATGAGAAACAGGAGGACACTGTGGAAACTGTACCAACACAGGGCACACACAGCCTGTGCTGCACAGCTTTGGGCCACTGAGTTTCTGACAGATAACAATGTGGTGGGGCTGTGTGCCACCCAGGACAGCAGCCCAAACTGTCCTGGGAGCTTGGGAAAAGCCTCCAGAAAACACCATGGCTCTCTGCTGGACCTGTTAGCTCCCAATTGCTGCACGGTAACCAATGGCTGAGCTACCTAGGAAGAATTACAGTGCAAACTTGGATTACACTTCCAGTTTTGAAGTGCTTGCTTTAGGGGCTGTGGATATGTGTGCGGCACAGGGAAGGCTGGTGGAGAGGTGCTGTGGGTTGGGATAAGCAGCCATAAGAGAAGACTAAGAAAGGCTCTTTCCACACCCTTACTGTCTCTGGATGCAAGAAAAACAGTGCAGGCAAAAGGGACAGGTGTGCACCTGAGAGCTCCCTGTTGCCCAGGTGCTCACAGCACGAATGAGCGTGGCTGGATTTCCTGCATTTGCCCAAATGTCCGCTGCAAACTTTCTGTGATCACTTTTTGTGATCTGACAGATCACTGTTGTTTCCTCTCACCTGGGAAGAAGGCTGCTGGGTCACTGTTTTGCCAGCCAGCTCTAAGTTGCTGAGCCAGCAGCACACAGACAAGCCTGACACCCCACCTGACCCAAGTTTGCTCCCCAAACCCTGTTACTCACCTGCCAAGGCACAGAATGGCTCTGACACCCACCCTGCATGTGTGCTCCCTGGGACACATGGATTTGTTGTGGATCCCACACTTGGGGGGCCAGGCCAGGTGCTGGTGGGGGTGATGCTGAGTCAGTCTTGCACCTTCTCCATGCTTACTCCCCACCTCCAGCATGAGGAAAATTTATTTACTGTCTCTCTACTGCAAAGATAAAAAGCAAGAGCAGGGAAGGGTTTATAATATATTTATATTCACTAATAATTTTCAGGTATACTTTTGCTAAGTCTCTGTGATGAAGAGCTATGAGAAAAATATTTGTAAGTGGTGCTACACCGAACCTCAGGCAACCATCAAAGCTTTCTTTTCACAGGTACTTCTAGTTTTACTTTATCAAGGGTTCCAAGGGCTTTCTGAGCCTAACAACAAGCCTTTTAATTTGAACAAGCACATCTTCGGGGGGGTTTCCTGCCAAAAGTTGAGAGATTGTATACGTGCAGGGTGAAGCTAACCTAGCAATGACCTGCCCTGCTGCTGGCTAATCTCTTTTTTTTTTTTTTTTTGGTCTCTGATTTGTTTTGGGTTTGTTTTATTGGGAAATTTCAGGGCTACATTTGTTAGGCTCATGTTCTAACACTTCATATTTTTGCTCTACATGTCAGCTTTTAATTTTCAAATCGCCAGCTACTATCAGGTAACTGAGGTTGACAGAGGTCTCTTTCTTTAGCTGTAACTTAGGAAGCAGAGGAAGAGCAGAGACTATTGAGAAGTCCCACTGGAAATTTGGCAGGGCGCTGTTGCTGCTTTACCTACAGTGATGAAGCTGGACCCCTCAGCCTCTGGAAAGCAGCTCTGCCAGCGGGACACGTCCGGCAGCCGCTCTCACAGGTGAGCACAAAAGCTCACAGAGCAGAAATGCCTCCGGGCCCCGGCGTGTCAATAGGTCTGCTCAGCTATGCCGAGTTTAGTCATGCATTTTAAGTTTCTTCCTGAACCGGGGTCTTAATTCTTGTGCCATTTTACTGGAACAAAGAGGTCAGATTATTTATAGGTCGGTCGCCTTTGTGTGCACGGAGCTAGCAATGCCTTCAGTGCTCCAATTCCTGGGACTCTTTTTCCCTCCGGCTCTTGAGTGCCGGCTATTCCCTCCCAATGCAATAACAGTAATTATCCTATCGCCGGCCCGCGCAGCGCCCTGCATCAGCGCCTGCCTTACCCAGGGCACAGCGGGGCTGGCAGCCAGGTAAACCCCCTGTAATTTACAGCTCATCACAGAAGCCAGCCAGCCCACGGTCTTCCTGTTTTGCAAAGAGACAGACTTATCACCCAGACGCTGCTGCGATGGGTGCACTGGGAAGGCAGGAAGATAAACTGGTGCACATGCAAGCTCTGGCCCCATCTCTATTTGGTTCTCTGTTGTTTCATCCAGGCATGCAGTCAAGCAAAATCATCATGGCTCGATGCAACCAGGAGACAATATTGATGTGTTTTTGCTTCCCAGTAGACCCATGACATTTCACAATGTAATTGCTGTTTCGCATCCGGCCGCTGAGTGCGGAGTGAGAGACGTGGAGCTGGCCATGCCAGGGTGGCTCTGCTAAGCCCTGGATTCACATTGGAGCAGCTCAGATGTTTTATGTGACTGGGGTCCTACAGCACCCTATAGGGTGTGTGCTGTTGGATGCATGGACTGACTTCATTTCTTCAGTCCTTGTCCAGTTTGATGAGCAGAGGAGCACCTCTCCTATGCAGACCGGCTGAGGGAGCTGGGGTTGCTCAGTCGGGAGAAGCAAAGGCTCTGGGGAGACCTTACAGGACCTTCCAGTGCCTAAAAGGGGTTACAAGAGATCTTTTTCAAGGAGATGAAGTGAAAGGACAAGGGGGAATGGCTTTGAACTGGAAGAGGACAGGTTTAGATTAGATATCAGGAAGAAATTCTTCACTGTGAGAGTGGTGAGACACTGGAATAGGTTGCCCAGAGAAGTTACGGAAACCCCACCCCTGGAAGTGTTCAAGACCAGCTGAATGGGGCTGTGGGCAGTCCGGTCTAGTGGAAGGTGTCCCTGGCCACGGCAGAGGGTTGGAACCGGATGATGTCTAAGGTCCCTTCCAGCCAAAACCATTCTATGATTCTATGAAATTCTACATGACAGCACTTGTGGTGTGTCTGCTCTTGTGAGGAGATTTTCTTTTACTGCTAGGCTGACACATCCAGCAGGACTTGGAGGACAGCAGTATTTGATGAGGACAGATGAAATTAGGAGCAGATTTTGAAAGAATCACTGTTGACATTTATCCGAACCTCATGCAGGCAAGGCCAGACAGTCCTTTGTGCAGAGGGCGCAAACACACACACATCTGCACTGGAGAGAACAGTCAAGCAAAACCTTCTCCAATACCCTTTGGACTTGGCCTGCTGCTGTTCTTCAGGTAGTGAGGAGCATTTTCTGACATGTTAGATCACCTCAGCATGATAAGCAAAAATGTACTAGCAAAGAAGTGTTTGTGGCAATGTTTTGCTGAGTAGCTTTTGCACTTCTGATAGTCTCATGGCCTCTGAAACTCAGCAGGAGCAAAGCTGCAGGGTCACAAGCACACTTTCTCTTGACTCCTTCAGCTGCTGTTCATGTTTTTGGCTGAGATAAAAACTCTTTTGGTAATTATTCATATCTTTGTTCAGTGCTTTGGCAATCTGAGGAGCCTCCATTACTCAATGATGCTTCAAACTAGGAATGGTAGGGCCCAGATACCCTTGGATTTGACAGCCAACAAACATCTTCATCAGTGAAGTCATACAAGGAGATGTTGTTTTGATGTGCAATTAAGCTACTAGAGGTCTAGTCACAGAGCAGAGCTTTGAACTAAGTAGCACTTGCTGTTTGAAGCAAATGGGGAGAATAAACACAAATATGTGTGAGTCTGAGGCTCAGTTTGCCAGCGGGCAGGCTGACAAGTGGGGCAATGTTCCTCAGCAAAGCTGACTTGAGTGGAGAAAGTGGAGGCTTCTGTGCAGGGAAGGCACAGACAGGGGTGTGGAGGTGAGGCATCCTGCACCCTCCCTGCTCGCTCCACTGGGATGCTCAGTTCTCTGGTTAATTCTGGAGAGCCTTGCAGAAAGAGGAATTTATCATTTAGAGGCCATAGAAAAATATAGAAAATATTTTCATATAGAAAAATAGCAAGTGTAAGCATCAGAAGCAAACCTGGACTGAAACTTGCAAAGCGTTCCAGAAAAAAAAATGGGAAAAACTTCTTCAATGTAAGAAAGGAAGAAAAACAAAGTCAGACTGTTGTGCAGTAAATTAAATTAGGATAATTTAGGCATGGCCTGCAATCAAAGGAGTATTTTACCTCTGCTCTGTTTTAAGGAAGACAAATCCTAGGGGTAAAAGAAGGCTGGTTAATGGGAACAGGGATATGGAAATAGAATTGTTACTGTGCTCAAAGAGCAGGCGGCGTTCCTCTCGGGAAGGCAGGTCATGCCTGTCCAGGAGTTCTGGAAAGACCAGCATGAGAGGTGGCACGTCTACTAGCAACTGTTTTTATAGATCTGCCAAGTCAGAGAGGGACCCCGTGACTTCAGGATATCCATTACAACGTGTTCAGTGGTTCAGAGTTAAAAAATAATCCAGCAACATCAGCGCCCTTGTACCTCTGACCTCACTGGTATGCGGGGCCTTGGAACGTGCCTTGAAGGTTAATTAAAAATGCAAAGGCACATCAAAAATGGGATGAAATGCAACTAAAGGCACATCCTGCCAGACTAACCCGATGGTTCTCTTTGATAAAACAATTATTTTTCCAGACAGGTGATATCTGCCAGATTTCCTTTATCTAGACTACTTTAATGTATTTGCTATGATGTCAAGTGAGAAACCACTGATGTTGCTGGAGACAAAATAGATTATTAGAGAAATTGTGTTGTTGGTAAGAGGAGGAGACGAGTGCTGAGGCTGGAGATCTCAGGTTAGGAGAAGTTGTCTGCGAGAGTTCTTCAAACAGGAGTTTTGGGACCAATTTTGTTTCACTGTTTGCCTTAATGGCACGCTCCTGGCCCATGTGAGCACTGTGCTGATGAAATGTGCCGCACAAAGCCATGAGGCACTGCTGGCATGGAGGTGGTTTGCAGGTCAGGCAGGATGAGCAGGGCACCTGGAGAATGGCTGCAGTAAAAGGAGGGTGACATTCAAGTAAAAGACAAAGAGTCATGCAGGTGAAAACTGATGTCAGAGGTGGTTTTTGCTATTAACAGAGAGTGAATCGGTTGGGAAAAGAACTGAGGAAAAAGAAAAATCAGCATTAGATACTCACAGGGGAGTTGTGTGCTGCCACCTTGATTTTGATGTTGCACCTATTTCCAGCTAAGAAGAGAAAGTATTAGTGCCCAGATCAACTCTCCTCCCTTCCTACCCCTCTTTTTGGGAAAGATGTATTAACAGCAGAGCAGCAGAAATCTGCAAGGGAGACCAGGAGACCAGAGACCCTCTTTTCCACTTCCATGGGGAGTTACTGCAGCACATGCATGTGGTGATGGGGATGGCGTTAGGTGAAACAGGCACCCTCCAGCTGTCACAAGTATCCAAGTGCTCCCCACTCCAGCCTAAGGCCAGCCCCCAATTGTTGCCAGCCAGTAGCACATCCACATCTATTTTCTTTGGATTAGGGTCAAAAGCAGCCCCTGGAACAAGAAGCATTAAGTGGGGGTAGGGTGGGGGATAGAGAAAAGCTCAGTGGTGTCTCCCAGTGCTTTGGTACCAAATGAACCTGGGAACCACATTCCACTCCCTGTCCTGGAGCTGCCAGCTCTTCCACCCCCAGTCCCTGGCAGCTGAGCTGCAGCATCAGGGGTCTGACTCCAACACTGGCATTCTGTGAGGAGCAGTTGCAGTGGCGTGCAATTGCATTTGTTTTAATGTTTTTCCTTAAAGCTTGGAAAAGCAATGAAAAAATGAATAAAAACACCTGCCTGTCTGCATGATTCATAGCCAAAACAACCAACTATATCTTGCTCTGCCTAGCAATTACCAGAGTTTTCATACATGTGTTGTGGAGAAGGGAATTTGCAGGAGGGCTCCAGGTGAAGCCTAACCAAACAGGTAGGAGCAGAACCTGACCCTCTGGCTATGCCTCAGGCCTGTCAGGTATGGAGCAACCTGGGTCTGGAAGCCACATTGCTGCCTTTGCAATGCACTGGGAGAGGGGCTCTTGTGGTGAGCCGCCAGAAACAGTCCAGCAAGTGGCCAAGAGATGGTTTCCAGCCCAGGTTTGCTGCCCCAATACTCCGGTCAGCAAGGGGGGCAGAAGTGCTCGGGGCTGCAGGGCCTTTCACAGAGGGACTGCAAGGTCACATTCCAGAGCTCCTTCAGCTCCTCTAGCAGCTAATATTGTCTCCATTACTGCTGCCTTTCTAAAGAGAAAGGCAAGAATGTTAGAGAAGAGTGAGACAGAGAAGAGCTGGGTGCTCATGCAAACCTGCAAGAATTAAAAGTGGTGGTTCCCAATGGTTATGTAAGAGCCACACGGCATTTGCAGCCTTGGCAAAGCGGTCGGGCAAGCTCCGGCTCCTCTCGTGAGAACAGTCAGGAGCAGAGCGGGACTCTCCCACCAGGGAGCCTTGGCAGGCTCTTGATTCACACGTTGGTGTTGAGAAGCTAAATCAAATACAATTATTAAACTGATTATTCATATTCCATTCTGTTCACTGTGGGAAGATACTCCTTTTGGGGTTTATGGGCCATACAGATTGTCAGAGTGAATCTAATTAGCAAGAGAAATCCAAATTGGAACAATGGCTGGTAATTGTTAATGATGCAAGTGTATATTATACCAGCTCAAATGAAATCTTGGGTTGCAAGCAACACTGAAAGGCAAAAGAACATTTACAGTTGTGCATAAAACACTACAAGTCCTTACCTTGCTGCTCTCAGGCGTGGTTGAGCTGAGCTTCCACCTGTATAACAGCAGTGCTTTGTGAAATTATTCCCAGTCACCACCAAAATAGGAATGAATGAGCTGCAGAGCGTTGGTAGGAGAGGTGGTCTGTGTCTGGGCTGAAAGTGACCCCGTGCTTTGCTTTCACCACCACAAACCTCAGCTGCCTAGAGGGCTGATTTAAAAGAAAGGACCCTTTACACTTGCACAGTCTCTGGATTGTGTCTCCAGCCCGGGGGTTGGAGCATCCTGGGCCGCCAGCTGTTGGTGCTGCTCTTGGCATGCCTCTCCAGCTCCACCAAGCAAATGCAGGGCAGGCCACCATCCAGATATTTTGGATTCAGTTTGGATGGTGAATTATGCAATACACACAGGCACACACAAAACCTATTTTGTTGTTTCTGCCAAAACAGGTGGCAGAAACAACAGGAGGTGGGCATGTGGACCTTTCCAACTGTACAGCGAGCTGTGCATCTGAGTTTGCTGAAATTATCTGGTCCAGAGCCTGCATTTTGGTCAGCAGACCCCAAACCAGAGTGCTGGGGACTGGCACTCTCACTCTGTGGGAACTGCCGTGCTTGTAGCAGTCGTGGATTTGGTCCAACACTGAGCCTCAGCTCCCACATGGGATGGCCCTGATCCCATGCCTTGCTTCTCACTTTCTAGCCCTGAAAGTGTTTCAGATGGGTTTTCAGTTCAAGACCTACTTATTCCTCGATGTTTTCTGGGTAGGATGTGTTTGTAAGAAGTGAACTGTATAGAAATGTGAAAGATGGTTTAAGATGCAACATTCTGGTTTTCAGAGGTTAAACACAAGTCAGGTGTCTTTTTGGCAATGCTATAAATGTGTATGTGATGGGAAGCCTGGACAGTTGAAACATTTTTTACTTACTCATCTTTCCAAATGTGTGTGGGCAAGACAACATGGTACAGAAAAAAATGCAGACTCTCCCTTGCAGTATTTACATTTTCTGTGTCCTGAAAGATGGGAGAAATAACAGACAAGGATAGGAAGGAAAGTATGTATAAGGAATAACACGAGTGATAGTTGTTACGACCAGAGCATTGGATAAGGCTTCTGTGTCCTCTACCAGATTGTGGAAGCTGGCTGATAAATATCCATTCATTCACATGGTGTCAGTGCTGGAGATGAAGCAGGACGTTTAACTAAAATGAAAATATTTTAGTTAAAAGAGGAAAAATGTTTATATTAGCAGTTGCAGGACTTGAATGAAAACAACTAAAAGAGCTGGAAAATCTAATTCAGATCCTTTTGTTTTAAATAGCATTGAAGAGAGGTCTGACATGGTTGGTGTCTTATAAAAACCCTTAAAATTTCAACAACACTTTTTTTTAATATAAGTTTGGCAAAAATGTTAAAAACACAAAGAAAAGAAACATTTCTTCTGTGTGGTCCTCTTCCTAATGCAAATTTGAGTCATCATAATGAGTCCACTGAATGGCACTTAGTTTTGCCATGCACACGTGAAATTGAAAATTAAAAACCTGTGAAAGTACAGAGTACATTTAATATATTTTAATGATTTTTTTAAAATTTTTTTCCAATGACTTTGCATATAAGTTTTTCCATGTAACTAAAATCATACTTAGAAATGTATTTTTCAAAGCTAAGAATGTCATCATCACTTCAATTTTGCCTTAAAAATAATGATGAGATTTGACTTTTTCTATGCTTTTATTTCTTCAGGATTATAAACAGCGATTTTTTATTTCTCTTTGCTATTGAGATATGTCAAGGAATTTCAAAGGCAAACAAAATTTTGCCATTGAAAGCAAATTTCTTACACTGTCAGGCAACCCTTTTTTTAGACATTAAGACTGAATTTTTATTTTGCAAATTATTCAAGTAAGAGAAAGCATAAAAAACCCCAACTCAGTTATATTCCAACTCAGTTCAACAAGGCACCGTGGAGCCTGAACCAGTGTAAAAGCTGATCCAATTACGAGCAGGGGGTTGTACCATAGGAGGGCTCCAGAGGTCCCTTCCAACCCAAATTATTCTATGTTGCTAAAATAAAATATTTTAACATCACAATTTCTATTTTTCCTAGACTTACATGAATTTAGACTTCTTCCAGATTTGAAGACTTTTTTTTTTTTTAAATCTAAACTAGGCTCAGAGTTCATTCATCTTTTCATGATTATCAGTTAAAATAAATAAATCTATTACCTTCAACTAGAGGGATAGAAAATAATTAAAATTACAACAAGACCTCTTGGTATCACTTTAAGAAGAGTGAACAAATGCTCAAGAGGAATCTTCACAAGCTGTTTTGCTAATTCACTTACTGTGTAAGAAGGCATAACAGAACCAGCAAGACGTCCTGGATCATATTATAACCAAGCTTTTTTCTGTAACAGCTTCAATGAACTAACAAAACCCTTACATCTTTATTGCCCAAAACCATTGCACTGCAGCTAACTGAAACTGCCTGGTGTTTTAAATGTACTTGCATGGAGAAATCTCTGTAATATGAGTTTCTCACTGGATATTATCAATTGATGGAACATTTAAGAGTACAAAGAGAGGAGAAGTGTGGCAGAGCAGGTTGAGGTGTGCTCCCCAGTACAGAGCTGAGCTCTCCTCTTGCCCACACTTAGGGAACGCACCATTCCATGTATACAGTCCCCAGAGGAGTCAAGCAGGAGGCAAATCTTATTTATTCTAGAATCCATGAACCTGCACAAGTGGAAACTGTTTGTTTTGTTAAGCCATAGATCAATCTTCCAAGCCTGTTTCTTTAAGCATGGCTCCTGTGGGTTTTCAGGAGGTAGAACTATCCCACCTGTGACTGAGAGTGACTTAGAGTGACTGTTTCTGTGTCTCAGAGAGTTCTTATCAGAACATGAAAAGACAAAAACTGCAATAACATTTATTGATTAAATGGCCTCATAATTTTTCTTTTGAATTCAACACTGTCCCAAGATGTCATCCAGTGTCAGTGTCCACTACTCCTTTTGGTCCACATGACTTCTCCATTCATTTGCTCTCCTATGGGCTGAGGTTCTGTCTTGTCTAAAAGTACAGAACCAGAGGAGGAATCAGCAGGAAGAGAAAAAACCAGCAGCTATCCAGACAGGCTAGAAGTTGTGTTCCCAGCCTGTGAACATGGAAACCTGAGGGAGATTTGTACCAGACCAGGATGAGGTTTACAGCATCAAAATTCCACACAAGTCCTAACACCTAATGTCTACTGTTGGACATTTGTTCATCTCCTGAAAAACATTGGTTAAAAAACCCCACACCAATACATTTTAACTTCATCTCCCTAATCCCTAATTATAAAATGTGATTATCAAAGAACAAAGAATTTGCCCTACTGTCTTTATGATGTACAATTTACATACTACCCCATCCTCCCAGTACAGTAATTTTAAAGGGCACTAAAATATGATAATAACAAGTATTATGCTTGCTGATGTATTATGAAATGTATCCCATTAGTCACTTTATATCTGAAAGGCAGAAAAAATTTCAACCTAGCAACAGAAAGGCTTTTAGGATTTAAAAAATATTTGGCAGGCAGTGGGCGTGTTAAACTATGCCAGGAGGAACCCAATTGGAGGTTTCTAGAGACAACAGGAGCATAAATAAGTTGCCATCCATGTCGCCCACCACAGAGCTGGAAGAAAATTCAAAGCTTTGTAACCTGAAGGAGCAAAAGAAAAGCAAAGGACAGCCTGGTGGCAGCTGTGGCCTGGCTCTGGGATCCTTGGGAGGAACTGCTGCCCTCCAAAGCCACAGAGAGAAACACAGCAGCAGAAATTCCAGCTCACCTGAGCCCCACTGTGCCATGCTCCTGCTCGTCTTGTGGGTCACAATAAAGATACCTCACTTCCTTAGCTCAGAAGAACTGATCCACTCCCAAAAATGCTCAATTAATGATGGTGCTGATGAGACAGATTGAGAGATTCTTGCCAACACTTCTTTTTTCCCTCCTACATAGGAAAATTGCTAGCACTAGAGATTTTACTGAAAAGCAGAGCAAGCAGTACACTTCAATTTTTGGACACAAAGTAAGCTAGGCAAAGGACAAGAATTCTTCCTGCTCTTTATTTATATCAGGAACTACCTAGAAAAGTTTGGGGATTTTTTTATTTTTTTTGCTATCATCTCTAACTTATTCTGGAGCAGAAATGTCCTTGATTGGCCAGGCAAAGGCTTTTTCTGTGAGAAATGTGTTTTAATCGCACTAAAATTTTCATTCAATCCTTTTTTGTTTGGACAAGGAGCTCTTTCAGCAGCAGAGGAGCATGCAGCCAGCAAGACTCCCTGTATAGCTCAAGACTGACCTGCTAAAGAGAAAAAGGCAGCAAAATTTCATTTCCCAGGTGTGTCCAAGCTCAGGACCAGGCGGTTCAGAAGGGAGACAGGGAACATGTTCAGGCTTTACTGAAGATAAGAAATATCCCCCTGCCTCAGGAGGACACATACCTCAGCCACACAGTGCTATATTCCCTAACGTCATCCTAAAATGTGAAAAAATTGCTTTTTCCACTTTTGAAGGGACATTGCTTTAATATCTGAACACAGCAAGTAAAATGAGCAAAATGAGAATCAACTGGAAGGATGAGGATCAACCTGTTGGAGAGCATCCAGAGGAGCATTACCAAGATGATTAGAGGGATGGAGCACCTCTCCTGTGAGGAAAGGCTAGAAGAATTGGGATTTTTCAGCCTGGAAGAGAAGGCCTTGGGATGACCCAGTTGTGACCTTCCATCACCTAAAAGGAGCCCACCTAAAAGGAAAGATGGAGAGAGACTATTTACTAGAAAATGTAGTGGCAGGATAAGCGGGATTGGGTTTTAACTGCAGAGAATAAATTTAGGTTAGGTACTAGGAAGAAATTCTTTACTGTGAGGGTGGTGAAACACTGGAATAGATCTCCCAGAGAAACTGTGGATGCCCCATTCTTCAAAGTGTTCAAGAACAGGCTGGAGGGAGATGGAAGCAATTTGGTCTAGTGGAAGGTGCCCCTGCCCACAGCAGGGGGATTGGAACTAAATGACCTTCAAGGTCCCTTCCAACCCAAACCGTTCTGTGGATTTGTGATTCTATTGAATGAGCATGATGAATGCATGTCACCCCTCAGCCCTGGAGAGAGCTGGCCTATTCAAGGACACTCTTCCTGCTGCACACTGCAGGCCAGCAGAGGAAAGGGACCTGAGAAAGGACGAGCTGCACCTGCAGGAGTCAATGTTCCTGCTCTCAGTGGGAGGGGAAGGTGTTTGCCTTATTTCACTGGCAGTGAGTGACAGTATTTGTGCCAAATCTTTGGGAAAGGCTCTATGCTGCACAAGAGGGCAGCAGGGTTGCTGAACAGAGGGTTTCACAACACTGGCAAACAAAGAAACACTGTCTGTGCCTCTTGCAACCTGGCCCCCAAATGCCAAGCACAAGTGGCCTGGGGACACCCCCATGGAGGATGCCAGTGAGCAAAGAGAGCTGGGCAGGGGAAAGGGGCCTGCTGCTGGTTATCTGAGAAGCCTTCAGATGCTTCCTTTCTCATTCCCACTTACTAGAGAGGCTGCTGGGACTGATAAACCTCTGCGTGGAGTGAAACCCTGCCCACCTTTTATGTTAAACAGAACCCACTTTACTCTAGTTTGGAGACAAGTGGTAAGCAGTAATTTGAGGATATCTAAAATGGTGTGCATTTCCCTTCTGTTCAGCCCAGCCTTTGTGCTCCCTATCATGAATGAGGTAGGGCAAACAGAGCCAGACAAAACACGGGCTGAAACCTGCCATCAGAGCTTGGCCCCATCACACAACCAGTGCCCGAGGCTGGAATTCGATCCTGGGAGAGCTAATAATAACAACACACAGCAAAGAGCAGAGTACCTTGCTGCTGTTGCTGAAAGCATGAAAAATACCATCCTAATTTAGAGACTTATTATGGCATATTATGGCAGGGCATGCCAACAAACGTGGAGCAAGCTAGAAGTGCTATGTTATGGTATGTACTCTTATTGCAATAATAATAATAATGGTAGTAATAAAAATACCTGCTGAAAATACACTTAAAAAAAAAAAAGGAAAGGACATTCTGCTGTTTATTCAACAATAAAGAGGAAAACTATGACATCCACAAAATACTCTCTCTTTAAAGTGGGCAAAAATTAACTAAAATGAGCCAAGTAACTTTTCTGCTTCTGAAAGCCTGTTAAATGCTCCCTTGGCCTGAAGAAAATTTTACACAAATTATTCTAATCTTTTGTAGATTTGTTTTTCATTATTGTTATTATATCCATTTTGTAAAATTTGATTCTTAAAACCAGTAAAGCTCACACTCAAAGAAACACAGGAACTTCAAACCCTGGTGGCATTTCATGGCTTTCATTTTATCTGTATTTGAGAAAAAAACCTAAAAACTCTAAAACCTTGCTGTGAGCTCAGGTAGGAAGCAGGGCTTGCACACATGTCAGAGGCAGCAACACACGTGCAGGACCCATCAGTTTGCCAGGCTGGCTTCTTGTGCTGCTCCAGCTGGGAAAGCAGAGGGGGGCTGGAGATCTGCTGTTGGGTTGAAGAAGGATCTCAGCTTCAGGCAGCCTGAAATTCCTTGCTCCTCACTGCCCTTGGCTCCCAGCAAACCAGCAACAGGACAGGTGGAGAAACTCAGGCACACCACGGGGTTCCTGTCCTTGGCCATCCCTCAGGGCCACCACTGGCACTCTGCACCAGGGCTCCCCAGTGCCAAGCTGCATTCAGGCTGCTCTTTGCTTTTTCACAGCGTCTCCTATAAAGCCACTGTAGTACAGGAGCAGGCTGCACCACCACCAGCACTGTCAGAGCTTTCCACATGCACCCTGGGAGGTGACCTGCATTTCATTTAACAGCAGCTTATAATTAATTATTATCTGGGGTTAGTGAAATACCAGAGAAATCCTAAATTTGGTTGGAAAAAGATCAGCCTTTTCTGTTTGCAGTTACTTGCTGGAGAGATTATTCTCAGGAGCTATAAACCATTCTCCAGCAAGGAAGGAGTGTTTAGGATTTCCAGCATTAATGCTCCTAAGAAATCATTTGGCTGTCACTAACGTTATGTAAATAGATGGTTCATGTTTATACTCTACAAAATGCATTTACAAGAAAAAGGCTGACTGATTCGGAGGTCAGCTTCTAACTCAAGGTTAGTGCTCAACAGTTTTTTTCCCCTGCCAAATAAAACCACTAAAGGCTAAATTAAAACCATGTGCTCTAACTTACCTTTATGTAGTTACTGATATAAAGAGGGTGGAAGCAATTTTGCTGTCAAATTTAATGCCTCTGTCTAAGGAGTGAAGTAAAACATCCTACAGGAGCTTTTGCACAAGGACACACATCAAGGGTGCCTGACCTAGAACGTGTGAAGTGCTTGAGTACATGAAAGCCACCTTTCAGTGACCTGTCACTGTTACAGACTGGAGGCTTTGTTTCCCAGGAATACATTGAAATAAATAGCAATTTAATGAACAAATCATCTTGCTACAGGGGAAAAGAAAAGATCAGCATGAAGACATTTGACACATACTATATGGTAATATTGAGATGGTTGCCAAATTTCTGAAAACTACCAGCTTCCGAAGTTTGTACCAGCATTTTATTCTCACTTCTAGGCATTTGTTTATTACAGCTTAAATGTTATACAGTCTTTGAAATTTCACTTAAAATTGAAATGAAAACTCCACTCCTTTTTATTACCTTCTTTGGTGTAATTAACACTTTAAATTCATCCATCACTTAAAACATTTTTCCTGGAGAGAGTGCTCACCTGAGGACTTGAGCCAAAAGTCGGTGATGCTGTCCAGCTTCTGCCAGACTATAATAGGGTGTGATGTTTCTGTTCAGCCCCATGAACATGCTCCCAAATGGCTGAAGGACTGAGGTCTGTCTGGCCCCATCTCTCAATCCCTCTGTGTCTAAGAAACATTTGGCCCAGGACTGTGGATGTGTGTCAGGGTGACAAAAACCCAAGCAGATGTAGCGCTTGTTGAGCGGTGGGACTGAGGTGTGCAGAGCCAGCCTGCTCAGGATTGCCCAGCTCCTTGGCTTCTGAGCTATGGACCCTGCTGGGGGTCATGTAGCCTCTCCTACAGATCCCAAACACTTCTGGTTCTTAGAGTTGCAAAAAAACCCCTTTGGTTTATGAATGTGGCATTCATGTTTAGATGTGGCATTCATCTGTAGAGCCAGCCAGCTCAGAAAGGTTCCTTTCTGGCAAAATTATTGTGGTTATCAGACTTTGAAGTATAAAATACAAGTTGGATTATGAAATAAATTAAAAAATGTTTGCACTTCATGGCCTCAGTAAAAACAACCACTTAGTTTGTATTACAGAAGTTTGCATCTGTTCCATGGCATCAAAAATGTCACCTGTCCAGAGCTCAAGTTTCCCACCCAGTCCAGTTGTTATGAAACACTCACACATCACAGTGGCCAAGTGCATACCACAGACTACAGGTGCTGAAGGAAATACAAATCACAGCCAACTGCAGGATGTGTGTCCAATTCAGTGAAGGCCAGGAAATAAAGAACATCCATTTATTTAACTGCACTGGGCAGGGACAGCATGGGCATATGGTGGCGGAATGCAGGGCTGGGTTTGCTGTGCTTCCCCCTGGGTCAGGAGGGCTCCTCTGCCCTCACCGCTCTGCAAGGGTCCCTGCAGCCCACAGGCAGGGCAAGGGTGGATGTGTCAAATGAGTCTCCCAGGGGCTGGGTGTTTGTGTTACCTGGAGATGCACCCTGCTCCAAACAGAAGTAACAGGGATGGCTCCAGGTTCAAGGCACTGGCTCAGAATGTGACACCACGGCCTGAAAATTACTGAATCCGTTCAGAGCAAAACAAAGATCTCACAACTCTATGAGAAGTGCTGAGTACTCACTCATACCCTCTCAAAAAGATTTCTCAGATGTTGAACCTCACAAGTCTCTGCTGAAGTCTTATTTCCCAAACCCTTGTCTCATTTCAGGCTTTATGTTCATATTGCACCTTTAAACCCAATGAATCCTAAGTTTCTTTGCTAAACTGAACTATCACTGAATGTAAAAAGATCCATTTTCAATATGTGCCCAGACTAGATGTGGTGACACCAGAACTGCTGCTACAGTCATCTCATATGCAAATGGTTTGTCTCTAGAAATGGTGACCACAAGCTTTTATTGTAGGCTCAGTACTGTCTGTAGGTCAAGCACAGCGTCCAGGGGTGGGACCCAGCACTGAAGGGGAATAATCAGAGGATTAATTATCTAACATTGAGCCTACATAACTTTAATAACTCCCATTGCATCTGTACCCAGATTCTGACCATGACTGTAGTGGTAACATGCCTTCCATGAGGCAGGATATGCTGCCTGAAAAGAAAGAGCTTTAGGTTTTTGGATTAAGTGGAGAAACAGTTTTGAGTGGATCAGCCAAGATAGCAATAATTGTTATGAGGCTTAACGTAGCTTGTGCAGAAAATATTTCTCAATTGCTTATGGTGGATTGTCAGATGTAAGAGCAGGCAAATTGAGCAGACTGTGAAAATAATCCTAGCATAGCTTCCAACAACAGAAGTTAAACTTTTTTGTTGCTAAGTAATGTGAAATTACAAAAAGCAGTAATACCAGTTGCTTCAGTACCAACAAAAGCAAAAAATACTGTTAGCTGCAGTTATTCATTATACATTATCTGATTAAAAGAACCTGATAAGTAGCATTTTCCAAGGCTTGCCCTTAGATAAAATTATGTTTTGGCAGAAAAGGTCTTCTGTATTGACACATATTGCATATTGAGAAAACGTTTTTAAAAACTTTACTGAAGATAGCATATTTTTCCTGCTGCTCACTAAAGACTCACATCATATTAAAACACTTCCAAAGGTGTTTCATTATTTGAACAGGGACTGATCAGTTAATTGTCTGAGTCATTTCAATATGGTGATGCAGCAGTGATAGAAATTTTTTGAAAAAAATAAAACAATAAACTAGATTACAACCAAATTACTTGTATTTCAATATTGTCCTTAGTTGCAGATGCCAGATTTAACTCTGGGGGATGCCACTTTCTAAAAATTTAATGAAAAATGAGAATGAATGATTGCTGCCAGCTAACTGTTGAAATCATATATATTGCATACATCCATAATAGATGATCATTTAATCTTCATTTAATCTTGAAGGTTATGCTTAGCTTTCAATCATTTAGGGAATTTAATCATCTCTCCAAATGTCAGAATTACCAACCTTTGTCAAACTTCAATTTATGGGAGTGATAAGGCAAGCCTTCACATGGCATTTTATCTCTATACCCTAAAGTTGAAAGATCTTAATATGTTTTCCAGCTAATAGAAGTTATTTTTGTACAGTAGTTAAGAATTGCTCAATTGTAATTTTAAAAATTCCTTAAGGATGAGTTAGACGGTGATGAAGGAAAGATGTTTTTGGTGACTGAATACTCCTTATCTTCATCTCACACTGTGCTAAAAGTTTGACTGCTCTAATTTTCAAGCTATCTAATCTTTTATGTGCTAAAGCATATGAAATCATGCATTATTAGAAGTATGAATTACAAGAAGAGTTCATTTATTTGGTGTTCCATAAACCCTTTATCTAAAAGGTATTATGTGGTTAGAATTTTTCATTTGGTAATATTCATTAAGTCTCAAACTCTTCTTTCAGAGAACAAAATTGCTTCAACCTGATTGAGATATTTTGTCTGGGGAAAGAAAAGACTTACTTTCACACAAAATCCATTATCATCAGTAAATGTTTTGATGCTTGCATTGGATGTGAATCCTGTGTATAAGGGATGCTCTTTACTGGGAGATCCATCCAAGTGAGTGCACAGGCCTCAGGAGTCTCCCACTGGAAAACAGCCACATATTCTTCCTTCAGAAATGTGAGTTTTTCAATTTCTTAGAACATGTGGAATATGTTATATTCCTTTCACTGTTGCATCTGAGGCATGCGTGACTATTTTCTTTGTATACACATAGCTGGAAAGAGTGCAGCAATCTATTAAAAGCAACTTCTATTTAACGTTGAGCTTTCAATTTACATTATTTTCATTGTAGAAGTAAGGAGTTTTATCACTTGATTTTTTGTAAAAATATGATTATAGCACTAAGACAATGCATATCATTTTACCAATAAAGTGAAGCTTATCAGAGTGGAATGCCACAGCTGAGAGAAGGGACATTTCCACCTTGAAGAAAATCAGACGATGCTTGAAAGGCAAAATAGAATTTCCCTGAAATGTCCTTTAAAATAATGTTCCTAATTCCTACCTGAAATGGTGGCCAACCTGCCCAAGAGAGATGCTTTCAGGACAGACGATTTGTTCTACAATGAAAACACAGTGTGAGCCTGCACTTGTGCTTTTTAGTTTAGTCCTAGGACTTGGGGATTTGTTTTTTGTTTTCAAGTGTCACTAAATCTTTCTCCCTGCCCCTCTGCTGCAAGATTAATTATTTTCTGTACAAGGGCTCTTCTTTCAAAGTCCTCCATTATTCTGTTTTCACCATACTGGGGAACTTATCCAAGTCAACAGAAAGGCAGCCTTTATCACAGAGAGGCTGTTCATGAAGTGGATGGTTTCATATATTGCTGGGAGAGAATTGCCTTAACATCGCTTATTCACACTGCTGTGCCAGGTGCATCCACTTACATGGCTCAAAATGCTGCTACCACCACATCCTCTGCTGCCAAGACCATTATGTGCTCCGAGTGATGGAGCAAGAGGCAGGACTTAGATCTTCTCTGCTGGGAAGCGGAGGCAGAGAGACCGATCTTTGTGTCTCAAAAGAAAAAAAAATCTGCTGTAGGGAGCCTTTTAACTCGCTGCGTCTCTGCTACTGTGAGTGCTTCGGAAGATGGGGAGGAAAATAGCAGGAGTTTAGAACAAGATTCTGCTCTGCATCACTGCCCCAAGATACTGTAAAGAGGACAAAGGGAAACTGGGATATAAATAGAGAATGACATTTTCCTTGCATTGTCCACAATGAATACATTTGTACATGAATAAAATCGTTGGAACGAGTCAACATGCATGCCTGATGCTGAAGAAAAGCTTGTTTGTGCTTAGTACATTGAAGACATTGTTCGAAAACAGTTCATCCTTTTGTAAATATTGCCTCGGCATTGGTGCCAGGGTCACTGCTGCTTTGCGCTATCAGCTGAATAAGTATCAGTCATGCACATACTGCTGGAAGAAATTTTAATACGGGCACCAGATTTAAAAGCAGAAAATTATCCTCTTAAGGACTGTCCCCTTCATTTGCAGTTAATACTCCCTGCTTTACTCTTAGTCTTTTTTCTTCAAAACTTACACGATTTTCTCCCAACTAAAGGGTGTTTCACATGTGCCACCAGGAAGTAAAACTTGCCCCATCTCTCAGGCTCTGCTAATGTGCGTACAGAAAGCAGATTTCCCTTTCTGACAAAACCCTGGTAGGAGGAAACCTTGCCTTTGCTTTTCATCTGCAATGAAACAACTACAGCAGATACAGGCAACACTCCCTTCTCGTGCAAAGTGGCTGAGGTCAGCTGAGCGGCGCCACGATGGAGATCTTGGCTCTTCAGTTTGTTTGCTGTTTTCTGGGAAGACATTTATGTGGCAACAATCCTTTTCTTTTCTGCAGAAGTTTTGAGAATCCAGCAAAACAAATACTTGTACCACATGCAAAACCAAATCTACGAAATTAATACAGTATGTTCTGTATCCAGTGAAAGCTTCCTTGTATCCCTATGTAGAGGGCAAATATGATGAACAAGATACATCTGTATTCATCCCCATACCCAGATTTTTTGGCAAGATAAACCAAAAGCTGAAACTACAAAGTATGTAGGACCCTCCAGCATTTCATGCTAGCAACAAATACAGCTATCCCTATGATAAAGTGAAATAGATGAGGGGAAAGTGAACTAGTGATTTAAAAAAAAAAAAATTGATCAATGGAAAAGCTGAAAATTATACCTCTAAAAAATTCTATGATGTCCAGGCAATTTTGAAAATGTTTCTCTGCCCTAAATAAGGTATAGTTCAATTTCAAATAAGATGTGGTTGGAGCTATTGTATCAGGCTTACACAGCATCTGAATATAATGATGCCACACATCTGAAAGATTACTATACTCTGCCACTCTGTGCTTCTATCTCTATGGCCATGCCCCAGGGTTAAAAAGGTTCAAATCCTCCAGGCATCCAGATTTTGCAGGTGGGAGTAGGAGTTTCATTGGGCTGACAGAACAGGGCCATCACATGTGTTTTTCTTGCAGCCTAGTTAAGTTGTATTGTGCTCACCCACTTTCACCTGGGCAAAAGGGCCAGGCACTCAATCTGCTCCTGGCTGGTGGGACAGGGCTGAGGGGACACGAGTCCTGCTCTCTGTTGTCTTGCTTGGAGCTTCTGAGAGAGCCCTCTGGGAAGGATGGTGGTGTAGCCTGGAAGCTAGGGAGGCTGGACCCAGGTACTCTTTAAGGTGCTCTTTGACCTGACCCATTCTACAATTCTATGATACATGCCCATCCCAGCAATCCCATTCTTTTAGGTCTGTGTGCTTTAGTTCAACAGCTGCTTTTATGCATTTGAACTCTGCCTGCATTTATGGCACAGAAGATGTGCTCTTCTGGCTGCTCCCAGTTCAGACAGACTTGTTCTGTTACCACCTTGATTACAGCTCTGGTGGGTTTTTGCCATGTTACTGCCTTTTGTTTTTTGACATGTTATCACAATAATAAAGTTTTCACATTGTCCTGTCTCCTAAAAACGGTTGAAATAATCTAAATATCAAGGAGGAATGTCCAAAGACTATAATAATTAATCAATCATTGGAAAATTTACTTCATATCTTGTATTAATGATTTGCTACAAATTACTCCAACATATGTCCCTTCAGGTTTTCTGATAAATACTTTAATGAAAGCAATTTTTATGTTTTCTAATTCAGGTCTGCTGTCCAGGAGCAGTGTGGAGATTGTGAAATACTAGATAATTGCCTGCAAAACTGTTGCACCTACTTGTTTGTCCAGAAGTAGTATCACAGCACACCCCAAACTAAAACATGCATATGCTTTCACACATGTAGGAGTCAACTAACAATAATAAAAAGTATATAATTGAAAAAAATAAAGGCAGGCCACTAAAATTCATGGTTCTTTACTATAACTATTACTTAAACCATTTGTGGCCACTGCACAAGATGATAAATGGACTTTTTTTATTTTAGATTGGTTCTGTAGGTTTTAGAACTAAAATGTTGAGAAGACTGCTCGAAACCAACTACACTAGCCAAATTGCTTTTGTTTGAGTTCTGGACACCTTGAGCTCTCATTTCAGTGTAGCTCTCTGCACGTTTTCCAGCACCTAGATCCACTGCACTGGGTCTAGGATTCCATCCTTCCTCTCTCAATGGTTCAAAAATAATAAGAAAACCTAGTAGTGAAAGTAAAACAAAATCCTTTTGCACTTAAATTATGTTGACTAGAAATGTGAATTTAAATCAGAATCCATCTCTATAGCAATCACTGCAGTGATTAGCTTTTGTATATGGTAGAATTTCACAGACTTTTTGAGTAAAATTTGTAGATTTTATTCCAAAAAATTGGAGTTAAAAAGTTCCTTCGGTGCAGCAGAAAAAAGTTCATAAAACTGCCATTGTAGAAGTGAGGACTGATTATTCACAGTGGACTGAGTAATCAAGGAGACAGCATACATCTATCTTAACTAGGTATATCTTACCTCCCTAATTGCATTTTGCAGTGGGTATAGAGCTTCAACCTTCTTCCGTAGGACAGAACGATAGCAAAGACATTGCAATACAATGGAATTACTTCAAAATATTGCTTCTCTCAGTATTGAGTGGTTCCTTGATAACCATGAATATAAGTATTCAGGAGGAAGTACTGTCAACAAAGGAACATCATATCTTGTGCCCTGGGAGTGATTTAAAGTAAGCAATTTTATTAATAGGATTCTGGCAGTAGCCTATACAAGGTTTTACCACTGTCTTTAGATGACACTCTGACATCACAAACACAATATATTATTAATTAAAATTTGCTTTTAGCATCCAGGTGTCCCACTTCAGACCAGGGACCTTTCCTCTAGGCACTGTAAAAATTCATTAGAAACGTGTCTCAAAAGATTAAGATGAGTATCTGGCTACATCTTGGCCTTGATTGCAAAAGAGCACTGTCAAGCATCTTAATAACATATTTACTGGTGCTCAATTAGATGCTAGAGAAAAAAATTGATCACCACACTTAAAAGTATTTGCTGCTGCCTTACAGCAGTGAAAAATGTTACTATTCATCATGCATATGGCAGAACCCTTGGCTTAACACCAGTTCCTCCAATCACCCTCCACACCTTATGGAGGAGCTGCCAAGTGCATCCAACCCTGCTTCTCCTCAGCTCCAGTTTTCCATGTGTCCCTGAGCAGCTGTGACAGGGAAGGCTCTTGAAGTCTGGGAACAAAAGCCCCCCAAAAACTGATGCCCTACCTGTCCATCTACAGGTTAATGGATCCAATGGTCTCTCTTGCTCATCAATGATTTTCAGCATGACATGGAACAACTGTTTTACCTTTATTAGTAGATTTGATCTATGAGGATAAAAGAGGGGAAGAGAGGTGCAAATGAGGGTCACACTATGATCAGACTATTCTACATACTCACCTTCATCAACCCTTATCATGTTACCAGTAGTGCCATAGCTATCTCCTCTTATGTTGAATTTTTTTACTTTTGACTTTTCTGAAAGTGGGGGAGAAGCCTGTGAAGCAAACTGTTGTTTTCCTTTAGTGCAGTGGGTTTTGTTTGTTTGTCTGATACTGGCTTTCTAGCTCTGATTTTGCAATGTTTTTTAAACACAGGCGTTGCCATGCCTTTTTGCTAAAGGCAGACAGACCAAAGAAACATGTGCAGCACTTAGAAAGTGGTAGAAGAGTTTCACACAGCACCATAATAATGAGATTTTTTTTTTTTAAGATTTTGTTCCCTGTCCCTTTCTTTGCAATTCCTAATGTTTTGCATGCTTTTTGAACCACTGCCAAGCTGTGCATTGATGTTTTTGTGGCAGCATTTTTATTGGAGCCCCACGAGGCTGCTCTGGAGGGGTAGGAGCCAGCCAAGATCCCTCTGTGTATCACAGGGCATTTATCCACAGCAAGGCTCATCTGCTGTTTCCTTCCTCAGTCACTCTGCTTTGTGGCCTCGTTCCTCATCCTCTTCTCATCCTCACAGTAATCTCTGCACTTGAATTCTTGCCCCTTCACAGAACATTTCTGAGCATGCTGGTGAAGGGACCCTGCTACTGCACTGCCATCACCACAAGAAGTGACCATTTGTTTCTACCTTTGCTTCCTCTCTTTCCTGTGATGTTTGTCCACATGAGAGGCTGCCTCTTTGTCCGTGCAGCTTAAGGTTTTTGAGAGCCTCTGGTAAAAGATGTCAAATGTCTTTCTTTAATTCCTTTTAAGCATGTTGACCAGATCCCCCCTCCACGTGGAGGGATTTGTGAGGCATCTCCCCCCTCTGCAAAAGCTGCCTGTTTCTTCCCCTGGGTTATGCTGGTCTTCTTCAGAATACTTTTTTGATACAGTTAATATGGTTTAATACATATATATATATATATATATATATATATATATATATATATATATACACAACTGGCCAGCTAGATGTTATTTTCTGATTTCTCTATTTGGGCATAACTTCAGGTTTTTAAAGGATGCTTTTAAACTTGTAGCAACCCTGACCAAGTTGGTTAGCTATGTTCACATTCTTTTGAAGACTTTATAAAAGCTCCAAGATATGATAAGCCCTGGGCTGGACTAGAAATGAAGTGTGAAAGTCTTGGAGGAGTAAATTGCAGGATTTAGAGGCTTTTTTATCTATGGTCTTCTCAGCTATATGCTGAAGACTCCAAGAAAATCCATGTTTTCCTACTGTCTCTGTGAGCGAGCTTCTTCGGGAATCCTTTAGATAGAGGCGAAATGGCAAAAAAAAAATTTGTTCTGGGTTTCTTTATTTCTGGGTGAGCAAACTTGGTCCTTAAATCCAAGCCCAAGAGCAGTCACCTCAACTAAGATTTTAGAAGTAATGAAAGTTTAACAGGAGGAAAAATTGGGACTGCCCATCAAAAACTTGGTTACGAGGATGCATGGGATAAAATTGGATAAATAGAAAAAAATATAAACACTACAAAGCTTTCCTAATAATAGATTATGGCACACTAGCCAGACATTTACAAAAAATGCACCAAACCCTATTTTCTACATCAAGGAAGTGAGCTGACCTAATCTGACTTTATTTCAGGAAAACATTTGTTAGTACGCTACTTGAAAAAAAATAAACTGAGGAAGACAGCAGTTGCTAAATTAACTCTTAATATGAATAAAAGCTTGCAAAGTAGCTTGGTAGGGAAAGTCTCAAGGTAGCAAAAAAGTTTATAGTGAACTTCCTTAAAGAATGATCTCAGACAGATATTATTAGTTATTTTCACTGACTACTTTAAATTAGGAATGGTCAACTGAGGATTCAAAGCTGGGGTACTGCCCGCACAAAGTGAGGCTGGAATATTGTATAACAACGGGCATGAGAGTCATTGTACATAAGCTTGACTCAGTACCCAGGAACTCTGCCTATGCCAAACTTAGGAAAAATTCTTCAGTATGGTATTTTCATTATAAAGACAAATCAAGTGGTTAAGTTTCTTAGTTGTTCTGCAGGCACAGAGTAAAATATATAAAATAAAATTGCTATATAAAAATGCCACAATACAAAGGCCATGTAACCACTTCCAAAGGAAGGCAAAAAAAAAGGAAAAAAAAGAAAACAGATTTTTGCTTGTTTAATTAGAGACAGTCATGATGTTAGCTAACTTCCACAAACACAACAACAAAAATCCTCCAGAGACTTCTACTAAAAAGGCAAAAAAGAAAATTCTTATTTTTAGATGTTATTCAAGAGTGCCACACAATCCATTCCTCCTTCAATTTCACAGGCATCACCTGTAAACTGGAGATTAACCTACAAGATCAATAGAAACAATATAATGAGAGACTAAGTCCATTCCTCTGTTGTTCCTGTAAAAATATTTCAGAATTTGGTCTCTTGCTCCCAGAGCTGTCAAATGAAGCCAGTGCAGAACAGCAAGTGAGAAGTGCTGCACAAACTCTGGAAGGCTTACCTGAGCTAACACACTGTGATGTGCTGGAGGTAACCTAATCCTAGAGACAGCTCTGTTCCATGAGCCAAGCCGGCTCCCCTGCAGTGCCCTGCGCTGCATCGTGTGCCTGTGCCAGCTCACGTCCATAGTCGTGCAAAGTGCAGAGATTCCCAAACAAATCTGGACATGCTGGAATTCAGGAAAGCCCGTGGCTTGTATGAAAGTGATGACACCCTTTCATAAAAAAGCCTTTTGACACCCTTGTCATGCAATACCAGTATGATAGTGCAAAAGTCAAGGTCACAAGCTAGGAATGAAGAATATTTGCTGTCACTATTCATAAAAAAAGGATAAGTTTGGTGTTTCGGTCAATCCTTACAGCTTTTGAGATACTGAGAGCAGGTAGCTTCAATATTAAAATAAATATATTAAAAATCAAAATATTAGTTGTTTTGTATCCAGGAGGCATGGGAAGATATTAATGCCACCATAAGAGGCAGTGGCAACATCTCCTCTGGGTCACTGTGCTTACTTCTAACCCTGCAGATTAAAAGACATTTCCTGGAAGTGGAGGTAAAAAGAAGGGTTAGAAGAACCGTCAGTGAAAAGCACCCTTGTTTGTGACAGGCACGGCACAGCTGGTTTGCCTGAACTCAGGCCGAGCAGGTTTCGGCAGTAAACTGAAAAACTCAAGGGAGGACAGATGGGAACGGACTTTATACTAGGTGAGAGAAATGCTCTTTAAACTGAAGTGAAGACCTTGCAGAATGTGAGATTTCAGCTGGTCACGATACACACGACCTGAAATCTTTAACCACACAGAGGAACAGAAAAAACAGAGGCAAGCTGATGGCAGGGGTAGCTTCAAGATGGAGTCCAGTGTCTCTGCATGTTAAGTTGGAGAGTGCAATACAGCTGCCTGCGATAGAGAGGATCAAGCCCCACAGTAAAGAAGGTCTTCTCCAGCCCTGCCCACTTTGTCAAGGACAAAGCTGGCTATGAAAGCTCTGATTTCAAAACACGTATCAAATTTACCCATTTGTCACCGGCCAGTTTATCGTACCCTCTATCGTATATTCAATAGTGTTACACAAGAGTGTAAATTAATGTGAAGTGCAATACTCCTAATTATTACAGTTGGGGAGCAAATGGGGCCATGCATATGCAAATATCTAATTAGTCACATTGTGGTTGTCTGTCTATGGAAATACCCTGTGTGACTATGAAATCATACTGCCTGCTTTGGCTTATACAATGATGTGTGTTGCTGCGACTCTTGCATAAGGAGAATTAGTCCTTCTGTTTTAATAATACTGCATCATTCTGCTCAATTCTGAGCCCTTAATCTTGCATCACAGTGAAACACTGTAACAGCAACATATAATTGTCTATTTTTCCAATTTTCTATTTTGTAAAATGCTAGTTCCTGACCTGTGCTGAATGTATACAGTGGCCTACCTTGACACAATATTAGATTAATCTTAACTAAAAAGAGTTTCAGTGCAGCTGTAATAGAAAAAAGAATATGACTTCACCTACCCAGGAATTTCGGGTTTCGGTCTTCTATTCTCAGAAGAATGTTATCGTTTCACTGACACATTTGTAGTTTCGTGACTTCTGTTTGTTTTAGCCTGAGATGACCTTATTAGTTCCTTCTATCCCCTCCAGTTTTGGTGGGGTCCCAAGTGCCTCCTTAGTGGTATTGCAAAAGGAAATCCCCATAAACCACATAAATCCCTAAAACAAGCTGATGGCAGAACGGAGCACATCTCCGTTCGGGCAGGCAGCGTCCTCCCCTTGCGCAGCGCTGCCACGGGTGTCGATCACAGCCTGCAGAGACACAGGACGGCACAGCAGCCCGCAGGCTCTGCTTGCTCTCCAGGACTGAAAGGACACCCTCATCCTGAGCACTTTGTCTGTATTTGCTCAATTTTAAGACACCTCTTTGCTGAGATTTCCAGGGCAACATCATCATTGTGGTGCTTCTGTAATTTACAGATAAAGGGTGACAGAAATGTGGTTTGGAGGACTCGGCACGATATAGGGTTGTGTTCACTAAGGCTGGCAAGATATCCGCTTTTCTGCTCAATTTGTAGGGCTAACTGGTTTCTGAATTATCATTACTTTGTTTTGAGGAGCATCAGCAATGGATTGATTAAAAAAAATGTGTTTCTGTCGTTCTAAAAATCCCTCTACCTTTTCTCCAGAATACAATGATTTCTTATCTTACTGCTTCTACACAGCAATTTAGATTCCTCCTAATTACTACCTAATTTTATGGTAAATTTCACCTCCTTCCCCCTCTCCCAAAATGCAGACATATATATTCTTATGTACATACGCATACCTCATCAAAATTATTTCAGCATAAGCGTGAATACCACGAACCAAAAGTTTGGCATCCCTGCAACAGTGAAAGATGACTGCCACCTATGGGTAAGAGCTCATGTTAACATATTTAGATAAAATTTTAATATTATTCTTTTTAGTTAATTCAGTTTGTAATTATCTACCAGAACAGAGTTCTGATTCATTTGCTTATATTTTGTCAACAACAATCACTGAAAATCATCCTCTCAAAGTTAGGTGTTAAACCACCTCCCTTACAAAGGAGCATCAGCTTTACGACGAGTAAAAAAATGGGGTACGACGTTCTCATTTTTCTTTTTCTAAATCATGACTACATAGAAGTGCTCTAATTCCCTATCCAAAGAAAAAAGACTTATTGCTATGCAGCTAGGTACAGCATATTAGATAAAGCTGTATTGAATGACGACTATAATTTTAAAGTTTAGCCGTCTCAAGGTTTTAATATTTTGCTTGCTGTTTCTTTTACTAAATACATACAACTAGCTTAGCTGTGCAGTTCCATGAAAATGTGTGTATAATCAGTATGTCATAGTAATTTTCTTTTCAAAATTTTTCATAGTAAAATGAAAGCTAAGTGGGGGAAGGGAGGCAGTAGAAAAATGTATGTCCCGATTACATAAGCCTCAATTTTTCTGATAATCAATCTGCGCAGCATTTACCTAGAAAACTCAAAAGAAAGTACAGACTGGAAAGCCAAATTTATTGTATCAAAAATACTTTTCTCCAATTCAGTTTTCAGGTATTTACAAGCAAACAGCCTGACAATTCTGTATATCTGACTACCAAAGAGAAAAGCGCTCGATTATGGCTGCTATATTTTGGTAAGCTGCATTAAAACGGACATTACAACCTCTTTCTCAGAAATACCATACATAAAAATTGCTGGAAGTCTAGCAAATGATGCATGTATTTCAGTTTGGGAAAAAAAATAATTTTGCTCCAGTAAACAGAAGCTAATTGTAGTAATTATATTTCTCCCTTTCGGGGCTGGGACACAGTATTTCTGAAGGAAGAGAGTCGAACTTAACAAAAGAGAAAATTATATTAAAAGAGAGAGCAACTAATAAAAACTCAGTCCATCACTGATTTTTTAAAAAAACAGTCTTTTAAAGTAATCTTAGTCCCGGGCCTTCTCATTCATATTGTACTTTACTAAATATGATAATTGGCCTATCTGAAAAACCCAAATTCGGTATTACGCTAGTGCTTACCTCCTCCATTGGCACTAAATAAAACTAATACTAAACCTATATAATAAACTTGCAAAATACTGTAAAAGTGGTCAGTAAATGTTGCTCAAATATCTGAGGTTCACAGATCACCATTTCATGCTTGCTCTCCCACGGCGTCGGTACCCTTTATAATTGACATAATTCAGATGCAGTAAAATCTTTGTGCTTCATAGATAAAACCATCTTCTAGGTAAAGTCACTGCCTCACAGTAACATATTAGTGGTGTATTTTCCTGACGTATTTTAGGCCAAAAATAGCATTCTTCAATTTACTTCCTTGTGTCCACTTTGGCTACCGAATCAAACTGTCACCGGTCCAGTAACATTTCCCTGTATTTTCAAACCACAGTTTAAACTTAAATCACTTAGTCTCCTTTGATGGGAACTTCATATCAGACAGAAATTACTCCTTAGCACGTTTGATGAATACAGCTTAAAATAAAACATCAGAACTGCATGAACATCTGTGACAAATGACTTGTCTCAGTCATCCTGCTCCTTCTTATTTAATCTCCCACTGGAGTACAATTTCATAGGTACACTGTTTTACAGTGCAGACCTCCTCCCACCAACCTACTGCTTGCAAAAGGAATTAAAAAAAAATATTTTCCATGTGTCATACCAAAATCTGAACAAATTATAGCTGAACTTTCAAAATAATTAGAAGTAGGAAAATGGAAATAAACAAATAAGCTAGTACCTCAAATTTACAAAAGCAACAAAAAAGGTAAAGAAATGTAGAAATGCAATAAAGGATTGTTAAACTAATCGATCTGCTAACGGAATATGAAACAAACCCTCCTTTCCTGGTGACACATCACTGAGTTACTACCTGCATATCATACAAGTAAAAAGAAGAGAAAATATTTTTAAGTATAGTCAGTATGATGAATTTTGAGATATTCCTATTTCAGTCTCTTTAAAACCAAGGCCATCCTAAAAGACAGCATACTCGACAAGATCTACATGATATTGGAAAACCCAGACAGGTTTTTCCTGATTTTTTTGCCGCCAATGATCTCTGTGTTTTACAGAGGGAAAAAAAATTCCACAAATCAGGCAGCATTCTTAATTCCCTGAAGTGCTTGTTGTTAATTTTATACCTTTACAGAATGACGAGTAAAATTCCACTTTCAAAGTAAAGAAATACAGAACGTCATATCATAGCTTTAAAAATTACACTTTCTGTTCTATATAGATGTCTCATCATTTTCACTTGAATGCTGCTTATACTGTATAACACAGATTTTACTTTAAATAATAGTACTTAATGCCTATATGGATTTTTTGTTACCTAACAGCTTTGCTAGATTGGTCATGGATTTTTTACTGTGCTATGTATTTTTTCAGTACTTATATACCTGCATTCTCCAACAGACATTCAAAATATTACTGCATTCTGACCTATTCCACTGTTTTGACACTGAAGTGCATTAAGATACTCATAACGTGCTTATAGAGGCAACTAAACAAAAAAATAAGTTACGTTCTGATGTTCTGGAATGAACGGGACTTTATTCTAATGGGGGAAAACCTGTTTGTTTGTAATAACTTAGTTTGTAGCTGAAAAAGAGAGCAACACACCTGGAATCACCTCACTGAAAATTCCAGAAATGCAAGGAACTTCACAAAAAGTCTGCAGTTACCTTGTTTTTTAAGTAACCATGCAGAGCTGACAGCTATTAGCAGCAGCAAGGACTTGCATAACGAGGACTTGAAGGAAGGCTTAGTACTATCCATGCCGGAGTGATTTAAAGAGAATGAAGGCACGTATTTCTTTATGATGCATTATGTAACAACAGAGAGGGCAATGTGAGGCATTAAAAAACTGCAGGACCCACACTTGATCTCATCCTTGTTATTTATCAGACAAATATTTAATAGTGCTTCGAGCAGAAGGCTTATGAAACACCAAGCACAGGAATGTTTTCCGGTATAAAATAGTTTGAAATGTTTTAGATGATGTATTCTATGTTTTGTACGTCTTTATGAAAATGTAATAGGCCCTATAATTCATCTATTTCAAACTTCTGCAATACATGCAATCTCAGATAAAAATGTCAAAATCAGTGATAGCCGGACCTTCTGGTTCACATTAGTGTGAAGAGAAAACTGCTGTTGAGCTGACACATTGATAGATTACGAGTTCTGCTGAAGAATAGCTAAAAATGGTGATTCAATCTTGTCGCTACTATATAAGAAGAATAACAGAAGTGGTGATGATACTCATGATATCCTGTCTTTCATTAAAATCCTAAAGGGTATTGGTGCATTGAACACATTCTCTTCCTGAGAGCTTCTGGTTCCAAAAAAATATCTGTGTAAGTAAATGAAACTAAATAGGCCTATTAAAAACCAGGATCACTTTGTGCCCTGAATTTATTTAAACATTGATCTAAATAGCAGATTGTAAAAAGACTTTTTTTTTTTCTGGGGGGGGGGGGGTCCTCTCTCTTTCTGGTTTTTTTTTTTTTTTTCTTTTACAGTAGAGATGCTGGTCTTGTAATGACGAAATGGAGAGCTAGGAGGATTATGAAACACAAGGAACATGAAGGGCAAATCTGACTGAAAGAGAGGGAGAATATTATTCCGATTATTTAAAACTTCACTGGGCTTCTTTACTAACTTAAATCAATGTAGGTCCCCAGAAATCTATATGGTAGTAATACAGATGCATCCAAGATGCATGTAAGGTAATGCGGTTCATCATCTTCTGTTAGGACAGTAAATAAAAACACTTGTATAATCATCTTTTCTGAACAGCTCCCTAATCTTTAGATATGCAAAAGACAACTTTTAAATGAGGCACCTTAAGTGCTTCTGCTATTCTACCCCTGGTCCTCTGTTATCTGAAACTTGTGTGGTCGTTAACGCTGAAGTGAAGTCAGGTTTAAACACTGACTTCTGTCCCTCAGTGCTTCATACTTCCCTGTGCTGCTGCAAATCACCATGGAAGGCTCAAGATGGAGGGAACGGGGCCTGGGTGGCTTGTGCCTTCCTCCCACAAAGATCACAAAATGCTCCCGGCGCTTACTTCCGACGCATCCAAGGAGTTCTGCAACAACAGAAGGGGAAACAAGGCTTCACAGTCCTCATCTTTCACTGACAGGAATAACAGGTAAGGAGAAGGAGGAAAGAGAAACATGGGGGGAGGACGTGGGTAACGATTTCATCTCAGAGGCTCCCCTTTTCCAAAGGGAAAGAAACCTTGACACAAACTTCATCACATCACAGAGATGTAGACAGGTAGGCACCTCACATTCTGATAAGTCGGTGGGTTTGTTTCAAGGAGAGATTAGGCATTCATTTGATTTTTAGTTTTACATTTACCGGGGCCTCTACAGCAAGCTTCTCCTGCAATAATTAATGTTTCATGTTGCATAGGAATTTCTGATTACATAAAAAAAAAACCCCTCTCCAACAAAACTGTAACTTAAGCTGTGTTCTTAATTTGATGATGGATGGGGAAGAAAAGTAGCAAGGCAGAAAGTTTATCACCCTACACTAAAATGTAGGGAAAATCAGAAACCAAAATCAAATTTAAAAAAACCAAAAAGGTCTCAGCCTTGTTCCGTGTTTTTCCTACAATTCTTATACATGCAATTGTCTTTTGAGTATGCAGGTCGACATCTTTAGGATATTCAAGCAACGCATTAACACACTGTAGATACGGGAAAGAAATAAGTCAGAAATATTTGTAGAGTGTGAAGCAGTAAACAGTAACCAAGAAGAAATGTTTTACGTAATGCTATCATGGCTTGACAGCTGAGTAGATTTATACCATGTTTTCAAGCTAGTAAGCTTGGTAACAAGTGAAATGGGTTAAATTTTCTGAGTTTGGAATGCAACTGATTTATGTTTGTTCCACAGTGCTACGCAGCTCTTAAATGCAGGAGCTCCTGCGGATGAAAGTCTGCTTTTAGGACAGGCCCCGCAGAGCCAGGCTGCGGCACGGCAGGGAGAAGCCCAGGTAATTCTGGCGGGGCAGGGGCTGGCGATGCAGGGCGCAGCAGGTACCCAGCCATCCTGCCAGCCCGCCTTACGTAAGGACTTCATTTTCGTCCTCCTGCATCTCGCCGCCGCGCAGGGCACGGCAGAGGAGGCTATTCCATCTCCCCGTGCAGCCCCATCCCCTGTGCCAGGCCCAATGACCGCATCCTCGCATGGTTTCATTTTTTAATTATTTTTTTTCCTCTCCTCTCCAAACAGCACATCTACACGGTGGCGTTTACCTACTCGCTCGCGCCGTGGCTGCCACGCAGCCTATCTGGGCGGC